TTTTTCTTTTTTTGGTCAGGGAACCCTTGTGAAGCTCTCTGCACCTCCAGTGTCAGAGATGGAAGGTTCTTGGGGATTGTCCAGGTTGGGGCTCATGCCCAGAGCCTATAAATGGGCTTTCGAGATCTATGAGCCTCTCAAACAGTCTCAGAATGCTGTGCATATATGTGAGAGTCCATCTGGGGCAGGGTCCTCATCTCTATCAGATGCTGAGAGAGACCCCGGATGTGGGAATGGTTCAGAATCTCTGACACAGGTGGGGAAAATGAGATCAAAGAAGGTCTCATTTTCATTTTTCTGAGCTCCTTTAGCAAATTAGAGGCTAAACCAGTAGTCTGTCTCCCTGGGACATCAGTGGTCTCCGCCTTACCTCCACACCGATGTTCCAGAGCAGTGCTCTCTGACCCCAGCCTCTTCTATATGCTCTTCCCAGGCTAAGCAGCCCTGGACTCCTGCAAGCTTAGGTTTTGCCTGTTGGGAAAAGTGCTCAGCTCCAGAGCCCCCGTCCCAGCTCTGCCCTGGTGTCCCCATTTCCACCAAGTGGTCTGCACCCCCAGCCTCAATTCCGTGCTGCCACTGTGTATGGGGATGGTCAGTGTGGGTCCTGTTTTCCCCAATGCCACCCCAGCCTGACTCTCTGGGTTATCCCTTCCCTGGCCCCAGATTATCCCAAAGCAGAAGGATTTTTGACCCAGTGATGTTGGTCTAGCTGCCTTAACTTTGCCTGTAGGCCTGGAGGCTGCTTATCCCCACTTTGTCACCCAGAGGATTGTCCTATGTGTCCGTCTACCTCCCTCCATGTGTTAGTGTGTGTGCGCATGTGCGTAAGAGCACACGAATGTCCACATTGCTCAGAGACAAGCGCACGGGCACCTGTGCACATACGCTTGCCTCTGTGTCTTGCAGTGCCACCTGGAGCCTTCCTGCTAGGACCTACCTCCACTTGGGCTTCCCAGTGTCCCTGGCTTAGACCATGGAAGGGACCATAAGATTATCCCTATAATAGTCTAGTGTTCCAAGCAGACTCTCAGCCTTGTCATTTTCCAACTTTGTGACTCTGAGCATGCTCCTGAACCTCTGCCAAAGATGGGGGTGATGATAATTCCAGGGTATCCATTCAACAAATATTTATAAGGTGCCTACTGTATGTCACACATGGTATGAGGCTATGGAGAGACAGCTATGAACATGACAGGTCCCCACTCTCATGAACTTGCTTCTCAGTGTCAGGGAGATGAGCAGGACATAAGCAGACAGCAAAGGGAGTTCAGTTCTGCTTGGTGCTCTGATGCCTCAGGGTGGAGTGTGAGAGTGTGCTAGGTGGTCAGAGATGGCCTCTTTGAGGAGGCAGCATTGGAGTTGAGCCTGGGATGGTAGAAAAAGCAGTCATTTAAAGATATAAGGAAAGAACCTTCTAGGTCAAGGGTATAGTTGGTGCAAAGGCCCTGTGGTGGGAATGAGCTCAAGGAGAGAAAGAAGGCCAGGGTGGCTGAAGGGAATGAGGAGAGACAGCAGACAGCTCAGGCAGGGCCTTTTTAGGCCATGCTGGGGGGGACTGGATTCTAATCTTAGGGTGATGGGAAGCATGAGAGGGTTATGAAGGAGGCGGGCATGTGATGTCATTTGCGTTTTCATAGAGCACTCCAGCTGCTGTGGGGAGAGTGGCGAGGGCCACAGGGTTGTCTTAGGAGCAACTGAGACCCAGAAAGTGCTTGGCTCAGCTGTCAGGCCTAGCCCAGCCAGGGTTCCTCTATCATCATGGTCCTTATCTTGCCTGGTGCTGAAAAAGAGGCTGCTGAACCCAAGGTCATCCCAAGGACTGTGGGTAGTAGGAGCTCCTGCCTGGAAAGGGCCCTGGATCAGGCTGAGAGAAGCTGCAGGGATCTTGGCCACTGGCAGCCTGTCATTTGCAGTCATCTCCTTGGGATGAATGCCCAGGGCCCAGCAGTACCCTCTCCCTTACTCTTGCCAGTGGGGCTGGAGGTGGGCAGGGTCAGTGCTTCAGGCCTTCTCTCTGGGTTGAGAATATGGGCCCTTGATTTCATGAGAGGGCCTGATAGGGGGCCTGGAAATGATGGCTCACCCTGCACCTCCAACCTCGGGCAGCAGAGGGAGGCTACAGGTTCTGGAGGCAGCTACTCACCGTGTGCTCTCCTGAAGCCTTCCTGGATCCTGTGCCTCAGTCTCCCCATTTGTTAAATGTGGTGGTGGAAAGAGTAGAGCCTGGTTGCCTTTCATCCTTGACCTCAGATCCTTAAACCTCAGATCGCTCAGCGTTTGTCACCTTAGGTTCCTTCACCAACTCTGGGGGAGGAGGGGCAAACGGTCCCATTCTGCAGATGGCTTCACAAAGGCCAGATGGGGCAATGATGAACGGGGTACATAGCTGTTCCAAGTGAGGCTTTGGGGCGTTGTTTTATACCTCTGCTCTGAATCTTACCACTTATGCACCCTTCCTGAGGCTCAGTAAGAAAGGGGGTCCTGGCTCAGCTCTTCTGGACTCAGCTGGCCCTCTGCCCTGGCAGGGACTCTGGGCCCCCCGCCCAGAATAGAGCTCAATGCTGCCCCTTGTCTGCCCACCCAGAAACCAAGCATGCGGCCCAGTGCCCAGTGCTGGCAGAACCTCCATCCTGCTCCCAGCTGTAGGAGGACATGGCAGGGCAGGTAGGGATGCAGCTAGCTTGAGGAAGCTGTTGAAAGTTGGGGGGTAGCACAGGGGTCTCCCAAGGGGTCCTTGATTTATCTACAGCCCTGACTTTTGGGCTGGTGGAGATTGAGCATCAAGCGAAGCCACTTATACTCTCAAGCCTTGGGTGGGATCAGGCTCCAACCTCATGCCTCAGACCAGCGCTCACCTGGCCCGGGGCTGGAAAGCAGGCCAGAGGGCTAGACTAAGATTCAGGCAGCAGGCCAACAGGCCCCCCTCTCTCTTCATTTCTTTTTAAATGCCACCCCCCACCCCCTGGAGACTCAGTTGAGGAGGTGACCTCCCGTCCTCCTGTTCTCCCTCCTCTGGGTACACAACCAGAGGGAACAGATCGAAATAGCAACAGCGGTGGCGGGGATGTAGGGCAGACCAGAAAGACAGTGCTGAGCCCCCAGGGTCCCTGGTGTCCTAGGATCAAGGCTCAGATAGTTTGGAACCTGAGCCTTGCTTTCAGATTTTTTTTTTTTTAAATATGTGGACTTTAAAAAAAATCTTATTCTCATGCAGTGGTCTAAACTCTAGAGGTGATGATCAGGGTGGGTGGGCTGGGGCCGCAGGTCTGTCTGACCTGTCCTCTTTTTCTCCATGTTTGCAAACCCAGGATTAAATTAATTTTGTCATAGCTGATCTTTCTTCAAGGACCTAGAAGTCCCCCGAGAAGTAGATCCACCTTCCTCTCTGGGCTCATCTTCTTTAAGAGGGAAGTCCTCCTGGAGTTTAACCCATGTTTCCCACACTTGCCTCATTATAGAATAACAGTTTGCCATCTCTGTCCTGTAGAGTCTGTTCAGAGTCTGGGGTAGACTCTGTATTTTAATGTCGTCCTCAGGTGAGAATTCTGAAGAAGCAGGTACAGGAAGTTTGGGTCTCATGTCCTTGTAGCTGCCCGGCAGCTTGTTCTGTTGCAGTCCAGAAAGAGGACCCACTCCTCTCCTCCTGAAGCCTCTCCTGGACCCAGCAGCCCTTCTCAGAGGAGAGTGGGGGTAACCAAGGCCTATGGAGGGGAGGAAGAAGGTGGCCCAGCCAGAAACAGGAACAATGCCCTGGATTCCTGCTTTTTGCAGCTCTCAGGGCATTTGGAGTCACTGGTTTCCCCCCTCCCCACACCAAGCAGAGGTGACTGTGGGTGGCTACCTAGACTAGGTGGGGCCTGGGGCAGAGAGTGGAAGGGGGGTGAGCTGGACCACAGCTCTTTGCATACAACCTCTGCCCTTCCCAGCGGTTGGGTAGGAAGCGGCTGGGAAACCTGGGTTGGCTCCTAGCCATTGTAAATGGGGGAGGGATAGAGATGGAGCACAAAAGGGGTCTCCTCATTTCACAAAAGAGAAACAGACCCAATACAAGGCAGAGGGGAGTGGGGCCGGCCTGGCCAGTGCAGTCAGGAGGCCTGGCCTAGACTGACACAAGGCCACACAGAAAGTTGGGCAGAGTGGGGCCTGACCCGCCTCGCCATGCTGTCTCCACAGTGCTCCCCAGGGGCTTCCTCTGAGTCCCTCCTCAAGCCTGGCGAGCTGTGGTGGGGATCTGGATGTGGAGGGGAACCCCAAATCTTTTCCTCCTCCCTCCTGGCACAGCCAGAGTGCTGGGCACTACAGAGGCAGCCTGGTCTCCCTAAGGCTCTCAGGTGGCGCTGCACTCGCCCAGCACCCTGGACAGCACCTCACTCTGGGCCTCCTATGGCTGATGTCTCTAAGATCCGCTTTGGCTTCCCTGGGGTGGACCCACCTCTGACTGAGCTGACTGAACTGCACTTCTGTTGACTTCCTTGCTTCCTCTCCTAATGCCCCATAAGGGTAGCCTCCAGCCCAGTTCTCTCCTCTAACTCTAAAGATTCCCTCATCTCTGGCCCCTGGAACAAGCGCCGGGGACCTGTCAGCCAGCAGGAATGGAGGGGCCTGCAGGAGGTGCTGCCAGGGCCCAGCTCCTCCCTACCTGGATCTTCACTGGGGGACTTTGGTGAATTCTGGAGGGCACCACAGACAGAGGAGGTAACAGGGAAGACAGAAACTGAGGCACAAGGGATTGACACAGGGGTCAGGGGACAGTGAGAGGGCCTGGCCTAGGCAGGGCAATGAGGGGGCCCTGACCTGAGCCCAGACTCCAGCTGGAAGGGTCCTGAGATCATCATGACCACCCTCCTGCCCCCAGGCAGGCTGTACCGGTACTGGTTCTGCAGGGCTTTGGATCCCCTGATCCCTGCCTGTCTGACAGACTCTGACCTCATCTCTCTGTCTTCTGCCAGGTCTACTGGAGTCCCAGGAGTAGCTGGGACAGGATGGAAGCAGTGGCTGCCATGGAGGAGGATAAGCTCCCATCCTCACTGCCTGAGGAAGGCGGTGCCACTTGGGACCCCAGCCTGGCACCTGAGGAGGAACCTGGGGTCCAGAATGGAATGGCAGCCAGTGAGGAACTGAGCAGCCGCCTCAGCAGCCCAGTGCACGAGGAGAGGGGAACCCTGGAGGATACTGAGGAGCCCACAGAGGACCCAGATGAGACTCTGTCTGCCATCAGCCTGGGCCTCTCCCTCACCAATGGCCTAACCCTGGGGCCAGATACGAACATTCTAGAAGATTCAACAGAGTCCAGGCCCTGGAGGGTTGGTGAGCTGGTGGAGGGGGAGGACATCCCCAGGAGCCTCTGTGCAGACACTGAGGACCCTCAGCTGGGGTAAGTGGGTGTCTTGGGTTGGAGCCTTACCATGTTTGGCAGCTCCAGTCCTATGTGGCCTGTGCCTAGCCCCTTATTTTTCTGGTCCCTGTTTTTATCATACATAAGATGGGACTCTCATATCCCTATTTTGTCCACCTTCTGGATGTTTGGGGAGGATAGGGTCATGAGTGGGAATTCAAAGGCTAGCAGGTTTATTGTACCCCCAGCCCTTAGCCCTGCAAGTCATCACGAGCTGATTTTGTCAGGTGCAAGGATTTTACTCCCTCCATCCTAGGCTGGCATTTGAGTTCCAATTCCTTTCAAAATGCTTTGATGGGCTGGGGTTGTGACTCAGTGGTAGAGCGCTTGCCTAGCATGTGTGAGGCACTGGGTTCAATTCTCAGCACCACATAGAAATAAATTTAATAAAATGCTTTGTTGTGCCAGGTGCAGTGGCACACACCTGTAATCCCAGTGGCTTGGGAGGCCGATACAGGAAGATCATAAGTTCAAAGCCAGCCTCAGCAAGGGCGAGGTGCTTAACAACTCAGTGAGACCCTCTTTCTAAATAAAATACAAAATGGGGCTGGGGATGTGGCTCAGCGGTTGAGTACCCCTGAGATCAAAAAACAAGCTTTGATGTGAAGGTCATCTGGGCCATGCCTCGACTTTCTGCAGATGAGAATCTACCAGTCCTGCAGCTGGCCCCAGAAAAGCAGGCTTTGTGAGGTAGCCTTCTCAGTCACCCTCATCTGAGGTTGCCATCAGAAAGTTCTACCGGGATTCCACTTCAGTCCTGCTTCCTGGAGTTGTAGCCTCATTTCCATTATCCTCAATAGGAGGTGGCAAGACTTGCAGTCTTGGGGTGCCATTGGGAGGAGGGTGGGGATTGGGCATAGGAAAGTCTAGAAGGCACCAACGAGGGCTGAGAAGAGAGCTGAGAAGAGAAGGCTTGGTGAGCACAGCTGTAGTCTCTGTCCAGAAGAGGCAAGTGTGCAGGTGTGTGTGTGCCTGGCCTACACAGGGGTGTATGCATGGGCATGTGTGAGTATGTTGACATGCATGGGCTGTGTGGTTGTGAGTGGGGGTGTTGGTGTCTGGCCTGTGCACTTGTGGGTGTGTGTTTGGGCCTGTAGTGGACGTCGGGGAGAAGTGTCTTTAGGTCTGGGTTGGCATGTGAGTACAGTACGTGGGTCTGCGAGCCCGTGTGAACTAGGTGTGCATAGCTGCAGGTTGCATCCACAGAGGGCCTAGGACAGCCACTGAAGCTAGCAGGGGTTGGCAGGAGCCTGGGGCTTCTTGGAGCACACTGTTCATATTCAGGTGACTTACTAATTTGGGATGACTAAGGGTGGGTGCAGATGGAGGTTTGGAAATTTGCTGATGGTTTTCAAGCCTCCATCAGGGCCATTCCTCAGGTCTGCTCTGTTACATGAGCAGGTGGGAGATGGGGGGGTACCATTTGTGGCTCTGACAATGGCTGAGAGTCTCTCAAGGGCACGGCTCTCTCTCTCTCTCTCTCTCTCTCTCTCTCTCTCTCTCTCTTTTTGTATGGGGGATTGAACTCAGGGGTGCTCTACCACTAAGCCACATCCCCAGCCCTATTTTTGTATTTTATTTAGAGACAGGGTCTCACTGAGGTGCTTAGAGCCTTGCTAAGTTGCTGAGGCTGGCTTTGAACTCGATCCTCCTGCCTCAGCCTCCCAAGCTGCTGGGATGACAGGCATGGGCCACCATTCCTGGCATGGCTGTGTCTTATTTGGATGTAACTAGTACTCAGCACACTCCTGACAGAGGTGTCCTTTCTAGGCAGACCAAAGTCTAGGACGCCTTGGTTTGGGGAGTGTGGAGCTGAGGGAACATACAGTAAGCTGGAAAACAAACACAATACTACATACTGATAAGGGCTAGGGTGACAGCAGGGATCCCTGAGGATAGGGAATGGAGAGAAGGGGCCAGCATGGTGTGGGCCTGTTCCCCTCTGTATTACCCAGGGAGCGACATAAAGGCAAGCCCTGAGAGTAGAGTGGTTGGCTGAGCTAAGAACCTCCTAGGCTGTGAGAACAGCAAAATGATGACCTAGTATGACACTAGTTGTGACAGGGAGCTGTCCACATTGCTCTGGGAACTCAGAGGAGCAGCCACCCAGGCCAGGCTGGGGGAAGAGACCTCATAGTCACTTATTTAGAGAAATATCGGAGGCCTACTGTGATCCAGGCTGCTGGTCAGGCCCTGAGGGTCAGGACCACATCTGTCCCTTATGCTCCTGTATTCCCAATCCCCATCCCAGCCTTGAGCCCCTAGTGCTCAGTAAGTTTTGGCTGAAAGGAAAATCAGCAGAACACAACCCATGCCTGCCCTGCTCCCAGGGAGCTCCCAGCCACCAACCCCTGTGTGGCGTACCCCTGGGCAGGATGGTGACTGGGTCCTTGCATCCCACAGGCTGGATGGCACCGGGGAGCCAGATGTGCGGGATGGCTTCAGTGCCACCTTTGAGAAGATTCTGGAGTCAGAGCTGCTGCGGGGCACCCAGTACAGCAGCCTTGACTCCCTGGACGTCCTGAGCCTCACAGATGAGAGTGACAGCTGCGTCAGCTTCGAGGCCCCCCTCACCCCCCTCATCCAGCAGAGGGCCCGTGACAGCCCCGAGCCAGGGGCTGGGATGGGTGTGGGGGACATGGGGCCTGAGGGGGACATGGGGGCAGCTGGTGGTGATGGGGAGCTGGGCAGCCCCCTGCGGCGCTCCATCTCTAGCAGCCGCTCAGAGAACGTCCTGAGCCGCCTGTCTCTCACAACGGTGCCCAATGGATTCCATGAAGACGGGCCCCAGGGTCCAGGCGGGGATGAGGAGGAAGATGAGGAGGACACAGACAAGTTGCTGAACTCAGCCAGGTGAGGCAGGCCTGGGGCTGGGGCTGGGGCTGGGGCTGGGGCTGGGGCTCCATCTTTGAACAGACGGAGATACTGAAACCTGGAGGGGACAAAGCATATTTGGGTGAACCAGTGTCCAAAGTCAACGAGTCCTCTCCAAGGCTGGCTTGTCCATCCTCTGCATCCAGAATTCTCACCCTGAGTTTCCATTCTGCCCTTCAGGTTTTCTCAGCTTGTAGGAGATCAGGGAGCTGTGTCATGGGCATGTGCAGTAGCTAATGATTTCTTTTGAAGGGTTGGTTCTTCTGAAAATCTAACTTGATTCTTTCCTGCTGCAGTGGAGCTTCTTCCTCTGCTCTGGCCCCTGCGTGGGTTTTTAGAGACCTGGGATTCCTTCTAGCCTTGCATCAGACCTCTGCCCCGGGGCCTCTGATCTCCCTCCTCCATCTACAGTGATCCTAGCCTGAAAGATGGCCTGTCAGACTCGGACTCAGAGCTGAGCAGCTCGGAGGGGCTGGAGCCTGGCAGCACAGACCCGCTGGCCAACGGGTGCCAGGGGGTCAGCGAAGCTGCTCGCCGGCTGGCCCGCCGCCTCTACCACCTTGAGGGCTTCCAGCGCTGTGATGTGGCCCGGCAGCTGGGCAAGAAGTGAGTGGGCCTCCCACCCCTCCTACCCCATGTAAACCTGTCACCTTCTCCAGCCAGTGACTGTTTTCAGGAGTAGCTGGTATCAAGGAGCTCCCAACACCCTCAAGGACACCTCCTCCTGCCACTGTCCTCATTCCTGGCCGCGCCCTAAATCTGTTTCCTTTCTGGGCTGCTTGGGCCAGGGCTGTTGCTCTCAGCTCCCTTGGGGCTGGGGTGCAGTATATGGGATGTGGTTATGGGGTCATCATGAATGGTAGTGAGGACAGAGCAGCTGGTCAGGAGCTAGTGGCCAACCTAATGGGGCCAGGGAGAGAGGAGAACCTGGGAGAGGAATGGCAGGGGACATATCCAGACACCTGGGCTCAGGAGGGAGTTCCCAAGCCTCATGAAGCCCTACTGTCTATTGGGACCAGCTGAAGGGGCTGGAACCCCCAAGTTCAAGCCTTGGCCTTCAGCCTGGGGTGCAAAGGGAAGAGCTTGGGGCACAGTAAGGGCTATGACTGAGGAAGTCGGCTGGCACAGCCCCACGCATGTCTCACCAGTGTGGTACCTGCTTTTTAATTCATCTTTTTGGTACCAGAGATTAAAGCCAGGGTCACTCAACCACTGAGCCACATCCCCTATTTTGTATTTTATTTAGAGACAGGGTCTCACTGAGTTGCTTAGTGTCCCACTTTTTTGCTGAGGCTGGTTTTGAACTCACGATCCTCCTGCCTCCGCCTCCAGAGCCATTGGAATTACAGACGTGCGCCACCTTACCCCACTGGCCCCAGCTTTTGACCCTTCTGTCCAGAAGGCCTCCCAGCCCACGGAAGGCTCTGAGGTGGGCAGAACAGACCTGGCTTCCGCTTGCTGCTCGAAAGGCTAAGGAAGACAGTCAGACCCTCGGCCACCAGTCAGAGCTCGCCCTTGGGGTGGCTTAGGCCCCAGGTCCTTCCCCCTCCCTCTTGCTCCTTCCCCCTCCCTCTTGCTCCTTCCCCCTCCACTCAGCCTACACTGGGCCCCCAACAACCCCAGCCTAGAAATCACAACTCAGATGCCCCCATCTTCCCTTCTGGGTTGTAGGCCCCACTCCCCTGAATGCATGGCAGCCTTTCAGTCGCCTTTCTGTGATGAGTCCCTCTCCTGTCTTTTCTGCCACTCCCTCTTTAGGCATCTGCTTACCTGCACTTAAGGGCATTTGTCTCCCAAAAGCAAAGCAAAGCTCTTCCTCCAACTTCACAGCCCACATTCTCAGGTTTTCTCCCTTAGGTTCATCTAACCTTCCCCTTCTTCTCCTCCTCACTCATCTCCTATAAATTGGTTCACCACCCCCATCTTCGGAATCTTCTCTTTTCAAGGTCACTGGTGACCTGGTGTCTTTGAATCTGGTGACCACTCCCCAGTCCACCTTCAGGAGCTTCGACACCATGGATCACTCTTTTTTTCTTTCTTTCTTTCTTCCTTCTTAAAAAAAAAAAAAAATATATATATATATATATATATACACACACACACACACACACACACACACACATATATTTAGTTATAGATGGACACAATGCCTTTATTTTATTATTTTTATGCGGTGATGAGGATCCAACCCAGTGTCTCACATGTGCTAGGCAAGCGCTCTGCCGCTGAGCCCCAGACCCAGCCCTCCTTTTTATTTCTTTAAAGTATTATTTTTAGTGTGGAAATTTCAAACATACACAAAAGCAGAGAAAGTAATATATTAAATCTTCACATACTCATTTTACTCAGCTTTAAAGTTATCAATATTTTAAAATTCTCATTTCATCTACTACCCTGCAGCTTTTTCCCTCCATTTGCTGGAATATTTTAAAATATATTTCAGACACTCCATTATTTGATCCTTAAGCACTTTAATGTATATCTCTAACTGATCAGAGTCTTTCTATGTAATTATAATTCCATTATAATTGCAAAAAAATAGCAAAAATTCCTTATTATCTCTAAATTCGATTTATGTTTAATTTTGTCTGAGTGTCTTAAAAATGTTGATTTGTCCAAATTAGGACCCAAAGGAGGTCTGCCACATTGCATCTGGCCCTGTGATTTCTAAATGTTGTTTAATCTACAGCGGTCAAGAGTCTCTTCCTTTTTCTTTTTCCTTTTTTTTTTTTTAATGGTACCTGGGAGTGAACTCTGGGGCACTCGACCACTGAGCCCCATCCCCAGCCCTATTTTGCATTTTATTTAGACACGGGGTCTCACTGAGTTGCTCTAGGCCTCACTAAATTGCTGAGGCTGGCTTTGAACTCAAGATCCTCCTGCCTCAGTCTCACTAGCCGCTGGGATTGCAAGTGTGCACTACCGAGCCTGGCTTCTCCTTCCTTTTCCATGTGCTATATATTTGTAGAAGAAAGTGAGCCAGTGGTTCTGGAAAAATTTCCACCTTTTGGACGCGGTATCCTCATGGTGTTATTTCATAGGTTCCTCTGTTTCCTGCGGGTCCTGTTAACAGGAGGGAGAGCTTGAGGCTTGATTAGAATCAGGTGGCAAGAGTTCCCTCATTCCAGTCTTGGGACACGTTCTTCAGTGGTCTCCCGAACAACGCTTCCCTCTTCTCTGCCTGTGTTCCTCCGTCTCCTTCACTGCTTCTCTCTTTGTTCTATACCTTTAACTGAGGCTTTCATCAGAGCTCTGCCTTGGGCTGGCTGCCCTGACTCTGCACCTTTTTCTCCTGTGGGCTCAGCTCCCACTGCAAATCATTATTAACTACCATGGAGTAGTGACTCTCCCAGGGATCCTTTCAGCGCTGTCCCTGTCCTGAGCTCTGACATCTTCACTGTTTTAGTCATGCCACACCCCCATTCTATCTCCCTTTTTGGTGGATTCTGCCTCCATAATTTTTTTTTTTTTTTGTACCAGGGATTGAACCCAGGGGCACTTTATCACCAAGCCACATCCCCAGCCCTTTTAAATATTTTATTTAGAGGCAGGGTCTTGAGTTGATTAGGGCTGGCTTTGAACTTGTGATCCTCCTGCCTCAGCCTCCTGAGCTGCTGGGATTACAGGTGTGCACCACACACACTCAGCCTCTGCCTCCTCAGTCTTCTCCCCGTCTCTCCCATCTCTTTCTTGGACTACTAGAAAGTTGTCCAAGACCAGGGGTCTCCACTCAGCAGGTAGTGTTCCAAAATACGAATCTGACTGCCCTGCTTCAGACCCCCAGAATCACATCCTTTCCCTTGAGCTGCAGCCCTGTTCCTTGTCTCATCTCTTACCTCCCCCATTCCTGCTCTCCAGGCTCTGGCCATACATCCCTGTCATAGCATCTTGGACGTGTTTTGCAGTTTCCTCCGTTGGGAACACTTGGCATCATCCCATCCCCCACTCCTTGCCCCAGGTAGCACTTTTCAGTGTTGGCTGAGACATCACCTCCTCCGGGAAGCCCTCCTGATCTCCCAGCCCAAGGTTGAACAACAAGCCTACTGGCCACTAGGGGAGGCAGCCTAGGGGTAGGGAGATGTGGGTGGGTGGGTCAGGTACTCTGAAGCCAAGTCCCCCTGTAGTTCTGTCATCCTTGGGATGGACCCCGCTTCTAATTGACTTCTCATACTCTCCCTGCAGCAACGAGTTCAGCAGGCTGGTGGCTGGGGAGTACCTCAGTTTCTTCGACTTCTCAGGCCTCACTTTGGACCGAGCACTCAGGTCAGTGGGGCTGGGATGGGACAGTGCCCACAGGTGGTATGGGCAGCACATCTGGATTCACATCTCAGCTGTATCAGAAACTGCTGTGCAACTTTGCACAAGTCTCTCGAACTCTCTATGAGGCTGTAAGGGCAGCAGCAGAGCAGCACCTCAGGTTGGGCTGAGGATACAGAGGTGGGAACACAGTCATGACTCTAGGAGAGGGAGGCAAAGGGCTGCCTCTGTGAGAACTTCCTGCCTGTCACGTGCCACACTTGGTCCTCAGCAGCTCTGCAAGGTGGGCGTGATCAGCCCCCTTTCTCCAATGAGGAAACGAGGAGCAGAGAGGTGAAGAGGCTTCCCCACCATCATTGAGGAGATGATGAAAGGGGATTTGACCTCAGCTCTTACTGGTGTTTGGACCCAGGGAGTAGGTCCCAGGAGGGCCAGGTGCAGGCCCAGGGAACAGGAGGGGTGGGATGGGTGGATATAGCCCAGGGTCAGCAAGCTCTGGTAGGGACCAGCTGGGGGATATAGACCAGGCCTTAGGAAGGATGGAGAGCAGTCTCTAAGCTAAGAGTGGATGGTCCATGTATGCTAGGCCTTTTTACTGTGTCTCTTATACTTTTTTTTTTTGTGTGTGTGTGGTGCTGAGGATTGATCCAGGGTCTTGTGTATTTGAGGGAAGCACTCTACCAATTGAGCTATGTCCCCAGCCCTGTCTTATATTTTTACAAAATGTAACTTCTATTATTTTTTCTCTGTTTTGGTTGGGGTATTCTTCCAGTTCACTTACCCTTTCCCTGTATTCAATATGCCATTAAGCCTATTTGTTTTTAGTTTGTTTTCATATTTTTCAGTTCTAGAATTTTCCATCTTATTGAAACTTTTAAAAAGAAATTCTAATTCTCTGGTGAATTTCCCATCTTTTCATTCATTTTTTTTCCATTTTTCCCTCTGATCTTGAGCATGCTAGTATAAATTTGCTATCTATTGTCTCTAATATCTGCATCATTTGAATCACTTGTCCCTGTTTCTATTGTCTGTTTTTTCTCTTGGTTTTCTATCATCTATACTGTCTCTTTGCATGCTTAGTAATTAAAAAAATTAGATTCTGCATATTTTGAATAGAACTATGGTGACTCAAGATTAATCTGTATTATTCCAAAGAGGGCTCACCAAGTCCTTTGCTAGGGAGTTAGAGGAGGGAAGCATGGTGACGTGGTCCTACTCTAGCCAGAGCTGGACTGAGGAGAGGCAGTGCCAAAGCCTGGTATGGCTCAGGGTCTGTGTAGATCACAGGGTGAAGATCCCAGGAGGAAACCTTGGTGGTTTCTTCATTTTGTCTCAGTGCAGCAAGATTGCCAAAAGCAAAAACACAGAAACAAAAGCAGCAACCTCCCCCCCTTAGAGACTGTCTGTTGAGCTTTTTAACCTCCTACTTTCAAATCTTCAAAATTTGGCAAATGTCTTGCTATAATGTTTATAGTCCCCCAAGTCTCCAGGTTTCTCTCTCCAGTCCCATGAAGCCACCCAGTGTCTTGCCCCTTGTCTGTGCCCTTAGTCAGCAGTGCCCCTAGGGAAGAGCAGCAGCAGCTGGTCAATCTACATACCCCCAGTCCTCTTCTCTCGGGACCTTGGCCTTTGTGGTCTTGATGGTCTCAGCAGCCTCCTGAAGCTTAAGAAAATGCATTGCTTCCACTGAGAACAGTGAACAGCTGCTCTATCCTGAGCTGAGTCTTGAAGATTGCACACAGTGAGGAGGATGGGAGGGAAAGTGTTCAGTGGCACCAGCTCCTGATCAGAGGCACGGCAGCAGGATTGGAGGGCCTCAGACGCCAGCCTGGTAGAGTGAGGCATTACTGCACAGGCACTGGGGAGCCCTGAAGATGCTGAATGTAAAGTGATGCGGGCAGCCTTTGATCCAGTCATGTGCAGGCTTCTGAAGAGCGCCAGGTGGAGGACAAGAGGACAAGGCCTGTGGGCGGGCCCTAGGGCTAGCGGGGAAAGTGTATGAGGCTGCTCAGAGGACAGGGTAGAGGGCTGCAGGTCCTGAGGTGGGGAGAGGTGGGCAGTGGTGGGGCCGAGCCTAGGGATAGCTGGAGAATTGGTGGTGTGGTGTTGGGCTGGGGTTTAGTGAAGAGCCCTCAACGGGGACTGTGGTCCGGGAAATAGGTGGTATGGATGCCTCTTAGGTAACACAGGCTCAGGCTGGGAGGCACTGGATTTTAGAAAATCCTAATGGAGTATGAGAAGAAGAGGGAGAGGAACAAATCAGGGCAGAGGACAGGGAGCAGGAGGGACAGGGAGAAGAGGAGATGGGTATAGGATAGGAGAGTAGACTTGCATGGCAGTTGATGGCCTGGAATTAAATTTCAAGAGTGGTCCGCAGTTTGGGATGCCTTGGAAAACCTTGGATGGTCAAGGTGTGGCTCAGATCTCAGGGGACTTTTGGAGGCAGCATAAGAGTATAGCCACCCACCCTGCCCATGCCAGGCCTGGCCTTCTCCCACCCAGATTTACCTGCCACTTTCTCCTGCTGCCAGGCCCAGCATAAAGAGTATAGCCAAGTGGGTATTATAGGTGCTTTGGGCTAGAAATCAAATGAACCACAGAAAAATTAGGAGCAATCCATAAAATCGCAACCCAGACAGAGGTCTAAACTGGGTTAACCTGCACTGGCGTGCCCAGGCCCTGGACAAGAAACCCTAGCCCCGTCTCCCAGCCCCTTTGGGATCAGCTTCCCAAAAGGTGCCTCTAAGAGGTGGGTGACCTTGGAATTGAACTTGAGGGAGATTAAGAGCTTCTCAGCAAAGGTGGGAAGGATGCTCCAGATGGACCCCAGCCTGATCAGAGGCATCAAGCAGTGGAAATGCCTGTCCTATCTAGGGTGTGGGGACAATTTGGAGAGGCAGCAGGTGGGTATGGGTTGGAGAGACAGGAGGGGAACTGGGGCAATCACAAGACCATGGTGTGGAGGACTTGGGTGTTACCCTGAGGGTTCTGGGGAGCCAGTGGCAGGTTTTAAGTCAGGCAGGTCTTGACTGCCTTGTGTTTAGATGGCTTAGTGTCTTCAGGGACTGGGAGGTGCAGGGGGCCTATAGGGAGGATGTTGCGCGTGGTCTGGGCATATGATGAGGTGGGGGAGGAGGAGGAATTGAGATTGAATGTGAAGAATGAATCCCTGGGACTTGGTGGCAGCTTAGACTTGGGATGGGGGAAGAGTGAGGGGGTGAGGGAGCCTGGGGCTCAGCCCAGTGGCATACAGAGGAGCAGGAATGACGGAGGAAGATTATTCTGAATGGCAGGTGTGGATAGCCTGGGCCCCACCATGGAGGAGGAGTGAGGAGTGGGTCTCAGGCACGCATCTGTTTATTATTCACAACCTGCCCCAGGTTGTAGGTGTGTATGTCATGTTGGGGCTTTTACCCGGGGTGAGTACCCAGACTGAGGTGGGGGTTCTGAGAGACCCTCAGCAGCTTTGAATTATCTTCTAGAACCTTCCTGAAGGCATTCCCACTGATGGGGGAAACACAGGAGCGTGAGCGGGTCCTGACACACTTCTCCCGCCGGTACTGCCAGTGCAACCCTGATGACAGTACCTCGGAAGGTACGGCAGGTGTCTCCTCTGCCCCACCCACCCACCCTGCCCATGCCAGGCCTGGCCTTCTCCCTCCCAGATTTCCTGCCACTCTCCCCTGCTGCCAGGCCCAGATGGTCTGTCTGCTCTGGTATACAGTAGGTGCTCAATTAATGTTGCATAGATAATTGATGGCACATGGAGTGGGCTCTGCCTGCTGGGAAGAGAGCTCCAGATATCTTGCCCATTGTCTTTCCCAGCACCTCAAAACTCTCCATCCTACAGGGTTAGTCCTTCGGGTCTTCATGTTTCCGGACTCTGTCACAATGGTGATTCTTGGTGTGGTGGGGGTCCTGATACATGAAGTTCTGCATGGGGACCATTTTAGGTATAGGACTTGTCCTTTGGATGGACCTGAGTCCTAGAAACTGAGGAACAAGGGGAAGAGACACAGGTCAAGTCAAGTACATGGCCCAGGACCCAGAGCCATTGCTGGGTCTGAGGTTCAAGGTGAATTTGGAGATAGCAGGCAGGTGTCTGGGCTGGAGCAGAACCAGGGCAGTCAGGTTTCCTCTGAGGGAGGTGACGGTCCTGACAGGAGGCAGGCAAATGACTATGACGCTGCAATGTGATGGTCAGGGAGCATCACGAAGCCCCTGGCCCTGAGTGTCTCGGGCGGGTGGCTGGCCTCTTCCTGTCTTCAGGGCCTCCAGGAGGGCGCTATCAGGAGACAGATGGGAAGCTGGGGTGGGAATGACCTGGATCATCACACTGAGAATGCCACTGTCTGTGATTTAGATGGGATCCACACGCTCACCTGTGCTCTGATGCTGCTCAACACGGACCTGCACGGACACGTGAGTTGGGGGATGTCCTTGCGCTGACTGACTCTGAGTCATCAGAGCCTGACCCTTCACCGAGTTCCCTCCCTGAGACTTCTTTCTCAGTGACTGTGTTTCTTTTAGCAAGTCCTGGGAGTTTGGCAACTAGGCTTCTAGATTTGTCTCTGCCCTAGTTTTTTTCCTGGGTCCTGGCCCCTAAACAGGATGGTGAGAACAGTTGAGTCATACGGGAGTTGAGGGTATGCCAGGTAAGATGTGTGCCCCTAGCTGGGCCCATGCCACTTGCTGCTAAAAGCAGTGTATTCCCCCCCACCCTCATCAGCAAGGCCAATGCCACCTCACTGAAATGCCATGCCCAGGAAGCCCTTGCCGTCAAATGGTAGGTTACTCTCAAGAGGCATTCTTGTCCCTTCCTTCACTCCACCAGGCCAATGAGTGAAGTGACAGGTGTGGGGTACCTGGCTGTGAGGCTGGGTTGGGCCCAGCCCCAGGTGGCCTCAATGTTTATCATGGCTCACTAATTCCTTCTTCTTTCCTTGGTCTGCTGCGGGGACCCTCTTTGGGCTCTCCTGCCCTTCCTCAGGTGGTAAGTGTAGCTAGTGGCGTGCATGCCCTGTGTGCCTAGACCCCCATCACCATGCCACCCTTCTGTGTCCCCATCACATCAATCTGGTCCCATCTGATCCCTTCCCTGTCATTGCTGACCCAGGGATGGTTAGAGCACCCTGTTGGGTTGGGGGATATTTTAGTGACTCGGGAACAATAGGCCAGCATGTCTGGTTCTAGAGTTAACTAGGGAAGTTCAGGCAATATGGGGTGGAAGAAAGCTGGGACAGGCCCATCTTCACATCCTACTCTTGCTTCAATGTGGCAGCTGTTTGACCCCGGGCAAGTCACCAGACCTGTCAGAATCTCAGGTTCTGCATCTGGTGGTGTGGGTCACAGTATCCTAGGAAGTCCTGAGAAGAGAAATAGACACAACACCAAGTGTCAGGATGATAGTATTCATTATTAATATTAAAACTTAAATGATGGTGACCTACAGACCCTTGGAGGGCCACACTGTGCAGGCTGCAGCCTGATGGCAATTGAGCATGGGGAAGGGAGGAGCAATCTGGGCTGTGCTCTGCTGGGGCACTGGCTTGGGAAGGGTGAGGGCCTCGGGGTGCCCTCATCGGGAAGAGCTAATGTGTGACAACTTGGGGGAAGTTAGCCTGGGCCTTGGCCTGAGTGTGGAACAAGAGAGAAGGTGAGTGTATTCTATGTGATGGTCACCAGGGCTGATGCCCAGGAGCCAGCACTGTTCCTGAGACTGCCCCCTGTTGGTGGAGAGTGGGTATTGCTAGTTACTCTAAAAGTAGTAGTGAACGCACTGCTTGCTCCATTCCTGTCTCCACTCTTGGCCTGCCTGAGGGCGTACCCTGGGCCCAGACTTGGATGCCCCTCCCCATGGCTGAGCTGCTCATGAGGGAAGCAGCTGCTGCTCAGTGAGCCCCGGGGTAGAGCACATCTGGAGTGTGGTGGGCCTTAGCTGGCCATGGACCCCCATTAACCCTCCGTTGAGGAGAAAGTAGGTGTGACAGATCAGAAGTGGGTGGGGTAGGACCCTCATTCTTGCTGTGGGAAGACACCGAGGATCATATTTCTCTTGAGGCAGTGTTGCCCAATGACTAGAAGCCAGGTTCCAGGTCAGGTTCTCTGTATCTCTCCACGTGACAGCTGGGTGGCCTGGAGCAAGCTACTGACCTCACTTAGCCTCTGTCTCCCACTGAGGAGGAACAGAGATAGCACATGTGGAGTGCTTGGCCCAGGGCCTGAGGGTTGCAGGGGCTGTGAGTCTTAGCCTCTCCTCTCCCTCTGCTGCTCATCAGATAGGAACGGAGTGCCTCATGGGATGGGGGAATCTCAGGAATGTGGTGTTGAGAGCCACAGCCGAAGGGGCCCCAGCAAACTTCCAGCTGCCAGCAAACTTCCAGCTGCCGGCTGATGATTGGCTCACAGCGGCCCCAGCAACATCTAGCTGATTGGCTCCTCTGCGGTGATGCTCATTGGGCTGTTTCCCTGCCCTTTCAGACCACTGAGCTGCTCATTGGGGGACTTTTTTGGCTCCGCCCACGTGACCCAGCCAATCGGCCTCAAGAGCAGGAGGATTGTGGGAGGTGGAGAGAAGCATGTGTGGGAGAGAGAGGCTTGTGGAAAGCCGGTGGTGGCAGTTGAGGCTCTGAGGGTTTTTCCTGAGAGGCTGTTTTGTTTGGCGTGTGTGGTTCTAAAAATAAAGTTAGTTTCTTTTGACAAGTGGCTCCTGATTGTGCCCAGCCAGACTGCGGCAATGTGGACGCTGATGGTGCCCCCGGCAAGAGTTCTGGTCAGAGAAGAAGGCAGAACGGGCTGCCAGAGCGTGTAGGTGCACTTTTTTTGGATGGGCATAGCCTGGGCGAGGGCTCAGGAAGGCTTCCTATAGGAGGGGCGTCCGGACTGGAGGTTGGAGACTCAATGGCAGTCCTGGCTGCTGAGTGCCTTCTGTGTTCTGTGAAGAAGCGGGAAGGAAACCCTCCCTCAGGTCACCTGCCTTCTAATTAGAAGATGTGGGCAATGCCCAGGGGAACAAATGATTGCAAGTAGTGGTAGGTCTGGGACGGGAATAAACTTGTGTGGTGGGGGTGGACTAGGGCCAGGGAAGCTTGACCTGAGACCTGGAGGACCAGAAGGAGCTAGATACAGAAAGATTTGGGACAAACTGGTCCAGGCAAAGGGGTCAGGAAGGATGTTTTTCACCTCTTGCCTATTGTGAATAGCTGCTATCAACATTCGTGTGCAAGTTTGTGTTTGAACAACTGCTTTCAGTTCTTTTGGGCCTACCCCTAGGAATGGACTTGCTGGATTCTATGATGTGGTCATTTTGTTTAACTTTTTGAGGATCCACAAAACTGTGACTGTTAGTTTGTGTCCAGTTGGGAGATGGACAATGGTGCCCTGGGTGAACAGGGTAGTAGATGTGGAAAGAAGGGGCTGCAGAGGAAATTCTTGAGGGTGAGTCTGACAGGACTTGCTCTTGGTGTTGGTCAGGGAAAGAGAAATAAGGATGGCTTTGGCTGACTTGTGGTGCCATTTCTAGAGTCTCCTGTATTTGTGGTGGAGGTGATGGGAGAAGTGAATTCAAGTCCCTTATTTTATTTTTTGGTACTGAGGATTGAACCCAGGGATGCTTAACCACTGAGCCACATCCCCAGCCCCTTTTTAATATTTTATTTAGAGACAGGGTCTCACTGCGTTGCTTAGGGCCTCACTAAGTTGCTGAGGCTGGCTTTGAACTCCAGATCTTCTTGCTTCAGCCTCCTGAGCTGCTGGAATTATAGGTGTGCCCCACTGCACTCGGCTCAAGTCCCGTTTCTGACATGCTGTGTTGGAGATGCCTGTTGGTCATCAACATGGGGACACCACAGGGGTGGTGAGATCAATGAATCCAGGGCCCAATAGAGTTGAGTGGGATATAGAGATGAAGGGAGTGGTGGTCACTGTCATCCTAATAGAACTTAAAGCCAGAAGCTTGGCTCAGTGCCCTGGGGAGAGAAGCAGGCTGATGGCCATGTTCTGAGGCCTGATGTGATTTAGAGGTAAGCAGAGGACCAGACAGGACTGTGAGGCAGCTGAAGAAGTCCAAGGAAAACCAGTTAGTGTGTGGCATCTCAGAAGCTGAGAAAAGAAAGTGTGTCAGTGGAGGAGCAAGGTCGAAGAGAGAACCATAATATCTGCTATGAGGGTGTTGAGGCTTAAGGAAAAAGATGTGTGTGGTCATATTGGAGAATATTGGAGAATGGAGATCAAATATTCTAGGAAAGTATGGTATGTTGTCGTGAGGGGTTGGTGCCTATAGGATTGGGTAGTGGATATAAAATGGGACCAGTTAGCATGACTCTGTACTCCTCGCCAAGCTTATCCATTCTACTGGGCTGAGATCCACAGTGTAGGAAACTAGTTGGATTTTATCAGGGCTGTTTTTTTTTTCTAGGCAAATAGGACAGAAGCAGAAAAGGGCAACAGAGCTAGAAGTGTTGGTGGAAGAGTCGGGTCTAGAATCTAAATGGGTTAAAAAGAAAGTGGGGATGTTTGGATCTCAGCAGAGTGTCAAAACATTGCTGGAATAAGCCTTCCAGAGAAGAGTGATCTGGAAGGACAGCAGATGGGTCAGGAGTGTACCCTTTCAGGAGTGAAATGGGGTGTTGGAGGTGGTTGATCCTGGGATAAGCTGGAAAGTGAGGATGTCAGAGAATGGTGATTTTCAACCTCCAAGCTAGAGAAGATGGCAGCCCTGGTTGAGCTGGAGATGGAGATGAAGAGAGAAGTTCGGGGGGCATTTTGGATGTCCATCCTCCAGCACTGGTTAATGGGCTGAATAGCAGGGTCAAAGGGGAGAACCATCAAGGAGGAGGCAGAGAAAGGGGACCTGGGTGGAGAGCCACTCCAGGAGAGTCCCAGCTGAAGCCAAGGTGAGTTGTTTTCAGGAGCAGCTTGGTTTCCCCCAGACCTCGGGTTTCTTGAAGAGTGGAGTTGATGGTGATGTGGGTTGGAGCAGGATGTTGGTGAACTCCAGGGATAGTCCAGGGATTTGGCTGCTTTCCTGAAGATCAGCAGTTGGGGTGTTTGTAACTCAGGTGGTGACAGAACTTCACACCAGGGAAGAGCCAGTATAATTAAGGGTTAGTGAGAATTTGCAAGTCTGCCCAGAGGTCTTTGCTCAGTTCCTTCCTTCCCCCTTCAGGGAGGTGACATCTGCCTTCTTTCAGCTTGGTCTGCCTCATCCTGCTTCTAGGGTGAGATTTAAAGATAGGATAGGCTTGTTCTAACCCTGCTGCTCAGGGAGGTCATGCCAGACCTATGGGGAAAGGTCTGGCTTCTGTGGGGTTAAAGTATGACCAAATTTCAGTACTTGGATGATGGCTTTGGTGGCTCCCCAGCCCTATCCAGCTTCCACTCTGGGAAAGGAAGTGAACGTAGTAAACTGGCCATCCTGGCCTGAGAGGGCTTGGGCTGGGGCTTGGGCTGGGGCTTGTCATCAGATGGGCTGTGACCTATTTCTGCTGGGAGACAGAGTCTGTGGAAGGAGGTCAAAGTTCAAGGGCAGCCTGAGAGGCCCTATATTTTGAAGCTCTGCAATTGGGTATATACCAGTTTAGGATGATTATGTTTTCTGGTGGATTGACCTTTTTTTCATTGTGAAAATGTCACTCTTTACCTCTAGTAATGCTTCCTGACTTCAAACCTATTTTGAAGATTTAAAAAAAATATTTATTTCTTAGTTTTAGGTGGACACAATATCTTTATTTTATTTTTAATGTAGTGCTGAGGATCGAACCCAGTGCCTCATGCGTGCTAGGTGAGCATCCTACTACTAAGCCACAATCCCAGCCCCTATTTTGAAGATGTTAGTGTAGCCATATTGCTGCTCTTGTGTTAGTTGCAGGGTTATATCCTTTTCTATCTTTTTGTTCCTGTGATGTCTGTTCCTTTATGGTTAAGGTATGTCTCTTGTATCATAGACTTTTTAAAAGAGTAAGTCTGATAATTATCTTTTAACTTGATCATTTAATGAATTATGACATATTTGAGTTTAAATATACCAGGTTACTATTGTTTTCTATTCAATTCATCAGGTCTGTGTTCTTTTTTCCTCTCCTTTCTCACCTACTTTTGGATTATTTAAGTATTTTTTCCTAATTCCATTTCCCCCCTTTTAGTTTGGTAGTTGTGCATTCTTTCAAAATTCTTTTTTTTAAAGAAAGAGAGAGAAGAGAGAATTTTTTTTAATATTTATTTTTCAGTTTTTCGGTGGACACAACATCTTTATTTTATTTTTATGTGGTGCTGAGGATTGAACCCAGCGCCCTGCGCATGCCAGGTGAGCGTGTTACCACTTGAGCCACATCCCCAGCTCTGAAAATTCTTTTTGTAGCTTGTGATATAGCTCTGACTTGTCAAAGTACCTTTACCACTTCCTGCTCAATGTGATATCATTAATTCTATTGATTTTTCTTTCAAACCTTTTTTCTTTGTGGCCCTGGAGATGGAACCCAGGGCTTCACATATTTAAGACAAGTGCTCTACCACTGAGCCCTCTCCAAATTTATAAATTGCTATTATCATGCTTTTAACTATTATATCTCCTTATATTTTATTCCCCAGAAAACTGTATTGTTGTTCTACACCATTAATAGTCAGCTGCCCACTCTTTCTGCTGATCTTCATCCCTTTCTGCTTCTCTCTGCTTCCATCCGGGATGATCCTCCTTCTGACGCAAGAATTCCCTTCAGTATTTCCTTTCTTCATTTCTATTTTTTTGTTAAAGTATGACTGGGGAGTTTCCCAGGGCCTCTTGTCCTTGGAGCTCTGAGTCCCGGATTTTGTTCTCCAGTCCTATAAAACCACTGTGTCACTCGGCCTCGGGGTTGCTTGTGCTCGAGGGAGGAAAGCTGCTCCTCCTTGGTCTCTCCTCTCCATACTCCCTTCTTGGAAGGTTCTTCAGCCTTGAAGTCCTCATGGCTTTTATGTTTCTCCAGTGCCCGCACACAGATGTTTTATTAATATTTTTGACCACAATTGTTTCTATTGGGAAGATTCCTCTGGAACAAGATAGTCTGTGTTTTTTTGAATAGAAATCTTGCCTAGTTCTTTTCAATTTTGCACTCCTGACTAATGGTTAAAGAATATTCATAGTGTGTGGAATTCAGACGCAAGTACTATCGGTGTGGCCCTTGTGTTCTTCTACTACAGACGAACGTGTACGTGGCTATATGCTTGTGTATGGACACACAGATATGTACGTGTAAAATATATGTAGAAACATATGAAACAAACATATATCAAGGCACACTGGGTCTTCTCTTTGACTCCTTGGAAAAGATGTGGAAAATTCTTGCTTGTCAGCTTATTAAGTCTTACAGCACTGTTTTCCTAATTATTTCTGTGATGTGTAAATGTTCCCTATTATGTTAATAGATTCTACTTGCTAAAATGTTGCCATGGTCAATCAGTTTGGGAAAGTGTATGTGGAATCCCCTCTTGGGAGAATTTCAACACACATAAGCATTAAAGACTCTGAAACACATAAATAAACTTATTTAATAATGAACTCCTTTTCTGAGAGAATAGCTATTTCGGTCTCATGGGATACCAGGGTTCTATAGGTAAATCTGATGAGACACTGTTTTAGAGCAAACCCAAGTCCACAGACCCTCACAAAGAAGCGTGCGTCCAGTGCTTCTTCAAATGTGGCCACACCAAGGAGAGTCTGACAGTGTGAACATCAGGTGTTGGGTTTGGAGGGTTCCAGTCCCTCAGTGGTTAAAGAGGAGGCAAACCTCGTGGATACAGTCATTCCCAGCTCTCTATTTGTATCTCCAGGAGTGAAACCATCTGCACAGGTTCTCTTTGTATCAGCCAAACTCAGCATGGGGCACCCATGTGTATTGGTGGAAATTGATTTTTGACTCTCATAAAACCAAATTCTCCCTTACTTCACCTACCTTTTGGAGGTCTTGCTGCCCCTCTGTGCAGGTGAGAGGGTGAGGCGGTTGTGGCGGAATACACAGAGCTTCTGCTCAGGAGCCAAGAGGCCTGGGTTCAAGTCCTGGTGCTGAGTGACCTTGGGAGAGTTAACCATGGAGGAGCGGGTGAGAGCATGGGCTTTGATGTCAGACACACTTGGCCCTTCCACTTCCTCGCTGTGTGATCATGGGCATGTCACTTCACTTTCCTGCACCTCAGTTTCCTTGCCATGTGGTGAGAAGAAAATAAAATAATGCATGTCAAGTATAGTACCTGGAACATAATAGGCACCTGACAAATGCCAACTATTATAATATTTCATCTAAACCTGATTCCTTCATCTGGGTTTGAAAAGAACCCCGACCTTTCATCATGCTTGAGGATCAAATAGAATCTTGAATGTGAAACAGTTTCGTAAACTCTTGGAGACAAAGGAAAATCCAGGCAGAATTATTTTCATGACTGCCTTTGATGATGCCTCATCTCTTCTGGTGGGGCAGGGTAGGGTGTGGGGACCACACCAGTTTCCTTCCTTACCCTCAGAAAGAACTGTTTCTCCATTACAGAACATTGGCAAGAAGATGTCCTGCCAGCAATTCATTGCCAACTTGGACCAACTGAATGACGGCCAAGATTTTGCCAAAGATCTGCTGAAGGTATTACCTGATGGGGCTTCCCATGCCCCTAGCTATGCCCTGGGAGGGTGGAGACTAGTCTCTGTTCAACTAAATCCTGACATTCCAGGCCCTTAATACTAGAGTCAGGGACACCATGACTTTGGGACAGAGTTAGAGAACATCTGGCTCAACAGGTGGCTGTTCCATATTCCCTGAGTTAGGCAGAAGGGTTGACTTTGTGAGGTGTGTTGTTTTGCTTCAACTATCATTATTGCTGCCACAGTAAAATCATCACTACCATTAATGGTCACAGCTGCCACCCATCACCACTTCCTTTACCACCGCTACCTCCATTATCTTCATATCACCCCCAGAGAACAGCCCACTCATTCTTCCAACATCACGGAAGTTAAGGCAATCAGTTTTCTTTTGAGATTGAACCCTAGAATCCCAGGGCGGAGCTCTGGCTTTTCTAGCTTGGTCAGTTTTCTACCTTGAAGAAAGAAAAACAGTTTTTTTTGGGGGGGAGGGGGGATAGATAATGAGTTCATTTCTTTAAACACTTTTTTTATTTGTAGATGGACACAATACCTTTATTTTATTTATTTTTATGTGGTGCTGAGAATCAAACATGCTAGGCAAGTGTTCTTACCATTGAGCCACAACCCCAGCCCATGACATCATTTTTAGATAGTGAATTTTTATGTCTGGTGGTACCAGGAAGGTAGTTGAATTGTGAGTCTGTTGGTAAATGTGTACAATTATTATGTGTTAGTTAAAAATTAAACTAAAAAAGAGAACATCATCTTCATCTCTCTTCTTAACACAACCGTCTTCTTCATTATCATGAAGCACTTATAAAACATATCTGTGAAATCAAACTGCATTCTACCTATCCACTTCTCCCCATCTACTCATCCATACTTGTACCTACTTCTCCATTCACCCATTCATTTTCCCATGCATCTCTCCATCTATACAACCATTCAGTTACTCAACTACTCATATACCCACCCATTCATTCATCACCCACACACACATCCCCAAACACTCACCCATATACTAACCACTCACTTGTACACCAATCTCATGTCTCTCCATTCCTCCATTCGTTCATCTACTCATTCATTCTCCCATCAACCATCATCTTATTGAGAACATACTGTGTGACAACATTCAGAGGTGAACAAGATAGACAGCTCCTGACCTAGGAAGCTTACAGTTTCCTGGGGATACAACAGTAAATGATCACAGAACTAAATAACACCCATCCGTACATTTACCCATGCTCTCATTTATCCACCCAACAAATAAGTTTGAATCAAACATTCACTTTGCCCCATTAACTGAAAAGGTGTTCCCTTGCGGGACACTCATTGTTGGAGGTAGATGGAAATTTCTTTGGCTCTTCTTCTGAACTTCCCTCTCTCTCTCCCCCCATCCCAGACACTTTACAACTCCATCAAGAATGAAAAGCTGGAATGGGCCATGTGAGTAGTGCCCACAGGCACAAGTATGGGAAGATGGCTTCACTGGGACAGGGAGTGGCTAGGAGTGCAGTTGGGCACACTGGCCACTCTCCATGGTGCTGATTTCTCCCAACCAAGGGCCCTGACAGCCCCTGTCCAACTGGCCAACATCCATTGTTGAGTTTCCTTTTTGGGCTCATTTTCTGTCTCATTTAGAGTATGTGATGTTTACAGTGCTATGGAATAGACTGAACTATGAACTTAATTCGATGATGTCCGCAACTACTTTTCTCTACTGAGGATATTTCCAAATTTCCAACAATGACAGCTCTTTCCCCTTTGGGAAATAGGCAGGTAGGAAGCACAGACCCCCCAGCACTCCAAGAATATTACCATGTTCAGGGGGTAACTGCTTTTGGCAGTGTGGAGGAGTAACTGCCCCCTGTCTTCTTCCCCTATGAGACCTGGAGGTGCCCAGACATCTGGAAAGAGGGGTGGCAACCTTGCTATGAATGACTTTGGGGGGAGCCCATTCGGCTGTGCTCCCTAGAGAAGCCTGTGCCTTTGGGTCTGTATGGAGGTCCCAGGCTCAGATATCCTAACCCCATTGGGAATAGCAGGCACTCCTCCACCAGGGCTCTCATGGTGGCCTGAACTTTAGGGGCCTCTCCTGAGGCCTGCCCTTTGCCTGTGTGCTGCATGGTTGGTGCAGCAGCTTCAGTCTGCCTCTGGGTGAGTGCTCCCAGGTTAGGCTCTCAGGGTTGGAAGCAGGATAAGGAAGACTGGAAAGGAGACCTGAAGACAATAACGTCTCTAACTTTGTCATCAGGGTAGAGGATTAGTTTAGAGGCCCCAAATCAAAGATCAGAGGTCAGCAGTCAGAACTGAAGAGCGAGGTCATAGATCTGGATCTGGGATCTGGACCCTCCTCATCTCTATCTCTGGCGGCTGCCCTTTCCCTCTGGCTTCCTCTGGCTCTTAGAGTGGGTAGTTGATGGGAGAGGCCATGGCAGTGTGGGGCAGAGGCTTCCATGGATGTGATGCTCAGCCTGGTACCTTCCTAGTGACGAAGATGAGCTGAGGAAATCCCTGTCTGAGCTGGTGGATGACAAGTTTGGGACAGGAACAAAGAAGGTTACCCGGATCCTGGATGGTGGCAACCCCTTCCTGGATATCCCACAGGCTCTCAGCGCCACCACCTACAAGCATGGTGTGCTGACCCGGAAGACTCACGCCGACATGGATGGCAAGAGGAGTGGGTGTCAGGCTGGATGAAGGGGCACGGGGAGGGATACTGGCAGAAGGGGGTCCCATCAGGTTGTAGCCACTTCTTTGGGGATGCACATTCAGTTAGATGCGCAGGAGGAGGTAGGTAGGACATGTTAGAGTGGGTGATTGTGGACACACTGTGCTTCCATCCCCAGCACCCCGTGGGAGGCGTGGCTGGAAGAAATTCTATGCGGTGCTCAAAGGGACCATCCTGTACCTGCAGAAGGTGAGAGTCTGCTTTAGAGTCCTTACCTAGGAAGGGTCAGCTCAGTCCCATCTAGCCCCTGCCTTGTGGTGGCCAGGGGCTCCTGGACAGGACCTGGGGCTTAGGGAGGTGTCAGGTCCTTCCCCCCCCAAAAGGGCTTGAGCTTACTCAGGACTTTGGAGATTTGGGGGAGGGGTGTTTGAAATGCCCAGTAGCTCAGTAGCTACCCAGTGTCATGCCTCTGGGACAAATTGGGGCTTCTTGGGGGTTAAGGAGATAGAGGGACAGAGAAGGAGATCAAGATGGAGGGAGGTGAGAATGGAACACTTGCAGCAGTGAGCCAGAGCCTGGCCATGACAGCACATTCCCTACCCACCCTGCCAGGATGAGTACCGGCCTGACAAGGCTCTGTCAGAGGGCGACTTGAAGAATGCCATTCGTGTGCATCACGCGCTGGCCACCAAGGCCTCTGACTACAGCAAGAAGTCCAATGTGCTCAAACTGAAGACAGCAGACTGGAGGGTCTTCCTTTTCCAGGCTCCGTAAGTATGAGCTGGAGCCCGTCATTCCCACCTGGGCTCAAGGCCTACAGCACCAACCCTGCACACATCCCTTTCCTGATACCCTGGGGTGTAGACATCTTAGCTTCTCATGCATGTGAGTCCCAGAATGAGTGTGTTCACTTGGCACAGATCAACAGCTGGGTTCTCAAAGTGGGTTTCCCTCAGCATCTCTTGGAAACTAGTTAGAAATACTTAACTGGTTAGGTGCTGGCCCCGCCTTAGACCATTCAATTGGAAACTTGAGGTCGGCCCCAGCCACTGTGCTTTAATAAGTCCTGCAGGGGCTGCTGATGCATATGGAGGTCCCTGAAGGGTGAGCTGATGGAATCTTGACTTTAAATTCAGGTGGCAAAGACTCCCCCTTACCTTTGACCTGCAAGGCCTTCCTTCCACTGTGATGTTAGCTATCCTTCTGTGATTTGAGATTGGGGTTTTCATGTGCTAGATGAGCTAAAAAGGGGGTTGACTGGTAAGTAAGGCTTGGGGATCAGAGTAAGTGCTGGGCAGGTGGCAGGGACAGGACAGGAGGGCAGTGGAGGGGCCACCATTTGCTTCCTACCACTGTTGACCTCCTGAGCTCATGGGCTCCAGGGCAGGAGTTCTAGACTTGGACAGGTTTATTTTCATGTAAAAATCCAGGTGCCTGGAAGCTGGGACAGAAAGGGAATTCCCTACATGGTTCCCACCAAGCCCACCAGCCCCTGCCCCATCCTCCCGCCTCCCTCCCTCCTGTCCCTGCCTATAAAAAGAATCAGTGCCCTCTCTGTGCCAGGCCTAAAGCTGGATATTGGGTGCTGGGTGGAAAGATAGGGACTCCTATTGTGAGAAGCCGGTGCCCTCTCCCATCTCCTCCTGTCCCCAGGAGCAAGGAGGAAATGCTGTCCTGGATCCTGAGGATCAACCTGGTGGCGGCCATCTTCTCAGCCCCGGCTTTCCCAGCAGCCGTCAGCTCCATGAAGAAGTTCTGTCGGCCCCTGCTGCCCTCCTGCACCACTCGCCTCTGCCAGGTTCAAGCTCCTGGGATCATGACGCCACCTCCCCAGGGGAGCCCCAGGCCCAGGCCTCCCGTTCCACAGCAAATCCCAGCTCAGGGCTCCTGGTCCTGGGCTCCAGGGAAGGGCAGATATTCTCCCCCTACTCCCACTTCCAGAAGGGAAGACTAAGGCTGCTCGCCACACGCCCCACAGGCCTGGCTGTGCTGTGGTGGGTGGCAGGGTCACATTTCCTTGCCCTATGATGGGTGTGATGTAGTGTGAATACAAGAGGATATCTGTGTCATGGGGAGGCAGGAACAGGTGACACTGGCAGGCCCTTTCACCAGTGCGTTTTAATTTTTACTTTAAATATTAGCATTATTAACACATTAATTCTACAGATTCATTGTATTCACCATGATATTTCCATATTGCACTGAGCATGGCCATCCACCCTCTGCTTTCACCACACCCCTTCCTGGCCCCCTTCCCATGCCTAGAGACTAATCCCTCTTCTACTTTCAAGTCAACTTTTTTCTTTTAGTTTCCACATATGAGAGGGAACATGTGATACTTGTTTATCTGTGTTTAACATAACGTCCTCCAGTTCCACTCATTTTTGGGCAAATAGCAGTATTCCATTATTCTTTATGGCTGAATACTACATATATATTCCATATAATATAATTATGTGAGTATATAAATGTATGTGTATGTATGTGTGTGTGTGTGTGTGTGTGTGTGTGTGTATATATATATATATATATATATATATATATATATATATATATCTTTAATCCCGTTAATCTGTTGATGGGTATCTAGGCTGATTCCATTATCTTGGCTATTTTGAATAGTGCTGCAGTAATCATGGTCAAACAGGTATCTCTTTTTGTATGCTGACTTATTTCCTTTGGATCTACACCCAGGAGTGGGGCACTGATTGAATGGTAATTCTATGTTTAGTTTTTTGAGGAGCCATCATACTGTTTTCCATAGAGGCTATACTAATTTACATTCCTGCCAACAGTGTACAGGATTCCTTTTTCTCCACATCTTCTCCTGCATTTGTTATGATTTTTTTTATAATATGCTCTGTTGATGTCTTCACTTATCCTTAGATGTTTCATTTGTCATTCCACAAAAAGCTTATCTGATCAGTACTTCAGGTTTTCAGGTTACTTTTGGAGAGGAAAGGATAAATGGGCCAGAACTTGAGAGGTAGAGGGTTGGGGAAGCTCTAAACTTTCTGACCTTGTCAACTATTGTCCCCTTTCCTATTGGGCCTTAGTCTCTCCACCGAGCTCTGGGGCTTCTGCATCTTCCCAGAGCTCCTCTGTATGCATACACAGTGAACGCACCACGTACACACATGTACCACACAGGCATACACATGCTCGTGTATACACATAGTGCACTCATACATACGCATGCCCCACATGTGTGTCCACAGTCATGCACTTGCATGTGCACACTCTACAAGGGACCTGGCTATTTTGTGATGGGTGGGATGTGTGTGCCCTTGTCTGTCAGTGACAGTGTCTCTCTCAGTCTATCTTTGAGTGTGGTCCAGGATCTGTGACTATAATGCATTTCTAAGAATGAATATAAGAGAATGTATGGGTCATATGGAGCCACAGATAACTGGGGTCAGGCTCACCCTTGGCTCAGTGTGTTGGTGTATGCATGTGAGAGTTCCAATGAGTCACAAGTGTGTCTAGGTTGTGTCTGTATCATGGAAGATGCATGGGCATATATGAGTGTGAGGGGGCTCATCTCCTGAGCCTGCAGGGACATTATAAAAAGTTGGTGCCCCTGGGAGCAAGGAGAGGAAGGAGGAAGATGGAAGCCACTCTCTCTTGGGTCCAGAGCCTGGCTGTACTGCCTTGGACTTGGGAACTCCAGCTAGTCTATTTCCCTTTGATGACCCACTCCGGTAACATCTGAGAGTTGGGCCTCACAATCTAGGGCTTATCTTTGCAGGAGGAGCAGCTGCGGTCTCATGAGAACAAGTTGAGGCAGGTGACTGCAGAGTTGGCAGAGCACAGGTGCCACCCAGTGGAGAGGGGCCTCAAGTCCAAGGAGGCCGAAGAATACCGGCTGAAAGAGCACTATCTCACGTTCGAGGTGGGCCTCTAATGGAGGGATAGGGAGGGTCTGGACCAGGGCCAGAGGAAGAGGCCAGCTCTTGCCCTCCACCACCCACCACCCACCACCACTATCCTTCTACAGCTAGGGGCTTCTAATTTGGGAGTTCCCCACTTTGGGGTCTCACCTGAGGCAGGTGTAATCTATTTATGGATCATGGTTCCTGTGAGCCAGTCTTGCACAGTCCAGCTGCCAAATGGTCATCAAACTATTGCATTTCCCTTGGGTCTCTCCAAGAGCACTCAAAAGACCCCAATAGAAATGCCACCACCTTTCCAGGATCCTTTCTCACCTATGCATCCAAGATAGGCCCAGTTTCTCTGGGAGCTTTTATAACCAGCCATAAATCACTCAACTCCTATCCACCTGATTCTCCCACCCACCCTTTTGGCCCCATTTTCCTTCAGCACATATGTTTATACAGCAGAACAACTTCATCTCTTCTTCTTCACTTCCTTCTTTCACCTTGTCTCTCTCTACCACCTTGATTCACCTCATAATGTTCTACAGGTGGGCCTGACCATGCAAACCTTGGTTGGGTAAAGGAGGTGGTGTTAGGCGGAGGAAGGAAGGCAGGAAGCACTTGTCCATTTTGGACTGAGTAGCAGATGGAGGTGTTCAGACAGACGAAAAGCCTGAGGCTGATCCAGGAAGTTCCCAGAGCACAAATGGCAAGACCTCACCAATCTCAGTCTCTAGATTTCCATATTGACTTTCTGTTGAGGTGTAGGGGAAAGAGGAGATTCTCAGGATAGACCCTGATTTTTTTTTTTTTTTTTTTGCAGTGCTGGGTATTGAATCTAGGGCTTTGTGCATGCTGGGCAAACACTCTGCTACTGAGCCACATCCCCAGCCTTAGGCACTGACACCCCCAGCCCCCCAAATGCTCTACCATGGAGCCACCTTCCCAGCAGACCCTGACCTTTTGAAAAACAGAAAACTTGATAGCTTTTGAAAGCCTCACATTGACTCTCTGCAGTGTAAAAATAGTGATGGCAAAAGCTAGATTGATCTCTTGCTAAGTATTAGGCCTGTTTCTTCTTGCTTCCATTGAATTGGCTGATAATCATCATACCAACTCTGTGAAAAGGTTCTGTTGTTATCCCCATTTACAGATGGGGAAATGGAGGTTTTCATGGGGAAATAGAGCACTTTCCTGAGGTAACATAGTTAAGAAGTGTAGGAACCAGGATCCTAACCTATGTGCAGCTCCAGTACCCTGGTCTACTGTCTGTCTCTATAATTTTAATTGTTCTAGATATCTCAAATAAGTCGAATCATACAGAATGTGTCTTTTTGAGACTAGCTTATGTCACTTAGCATAATGTTAAGATTTATCCATGTAAGCTGGGTGTGGTGCACACGCCTATAATCTCAGAGGCTTGGGAGGCTGAGGCGGAAGTTCAAAACTAGCTTCAGCAATTTAGTGAGGCCCTAAATAACTTAGTGAGACCCTGTCTCAAAATAAAAACACAAAAAGGGCTGGGGATGTAGCTCAGTGGTTAAGTGCCCCTAGGTTCAATCCATGTACTTCCCCCCCACCAAGAAAGGATTTATCCATGTTGCATATTTCAGAATGGCCTTTCTTTTTAAGGCTGAGTAATATTCTATTGTTTGCATACAATGTGTTTTTTTTAATCCATTCATCTCTTTTTTATATATATTTTATTTTATTTTTTTATTAATTTTTAAAATTTATATATGACAGCAGTCCTTTCATCTCCCGATGGACACCTGAATTAGCCATGAAGAACTTTTGAATGTGCTTGTTGGCCATTTGTATATCTTTTTCGGAGGCATACCTATTCATGTCATTTATTAATTTTTAAATTATCTTGTTTGTTATTTTTTGGTGTTGAGTTGTAGGAGTTCTCTATATATCTGAAATATTAACTCCTTATCACATATATGATTTTCAAATATTTTCTGTCATTCTGTAGATTGCCTTTTTACTTGTTGGTTGTATTCTTTTTTTTTTTTTTTTTGTAGTTGTAGATGGACAGAATGCCTTTATTTTATTTGTTTATTTTTATGTGATGCCTTACGCATGCTAGGCAAGCGCTCTGTCACTGAGCTACAGCCCCAGCCCTGTTTGTATTCTTTGATGTGCAGAAATTTTAAGTTTCGGTGCAGTCACATTTGTCTGTTTTTACTTTCATTTCTTGTGCTTTTGGTATCGTACACAAGAAACCACTGGCGATTTTTTTTTGATTCTTAAAAGTATTAGTAAAATTTATGTGCATGTTTCTTGTCTGTTTTTATTGGACAGTTTATTTCTTTTTATTGATTGTGAGAGGTCTCTGAATATTAAGGATAAGTTTTCGGTTATATAATATATAAATTTTTTTCTCATTTTATTGTATGAACTTTGATCTCGTTTTTGGCTTTTCTCTGCTCTTTTTTCCCCCAGAAAAGTCGTTATGAAACCTATATTCACCTCCTGGCTGTGAAAATCAAGGTGGGCTCAGATGATCTGGAGCGAATTGAGGCTCGGCTGGCCATGCTGGAAGGGGATGATCCTTCTCTACGGAAGACACACTCTAGCCCTGCCCTTAGCCAGGGTCATGGGCCTCTGACTGGAAACAAAGCCACACAGGATGCTACTGGGTCTGATACTTAGCTGGTGTGGACATGCTGCAAATGGCCCAGAGGGGTCAATGAGCACAATTCCAGCCTGGGGCCACCGGGACCAAGCGCCAGGCAATTGACAGGCACCCAGAGGGGCATGGAGAGCCCCGTGGACCAAGGAGTTGGAGATGCCATTCGTGGCATTGGTCTTACATCCTGGGCCATCTCTGACCTTGATCTTCTCCCCAGCCCTCATTGCCCTTTCCACACAGGGTCTCACTTTTTAGGCCAGGGTGTACCTGCTCTAGCACCTCCTCACTGGAGAAGCAGAGAGGGCCATTGCTTCCCCTGGCCACCTTCTTCTCATCAAGCTCCTCCCTCATCTCCCATGTGTGAGGGTAGGTCTGGACTCTGGGTCTCAGCTTGGACCCCTCTCCTCCCTTTTTCTTCCTCCTTCCTTTGAGTTGACCAGCAGCAGGTCTGTGGACCACCAGCACCATCCACTCCTCCTCCCAGCGACCTCTGCAACCAGGCCCAATTATGCCTCACATCGCAATAATCTGGGACCCGGGCCTGCCACCGCTTAGTACCAAGTTGTCTCCACGTTCGCATCTCCTTCCATCATGGAGGCCACTACTGTCTCCTTTTTATACAAACATAAATGTACATATATATATATATATACACAATATATATATATATATATATATATATATATATATATATATATATATATGAAATCATGAAATCCCTTTAAAGATGGGGTTGGAATGGCTGTCAGAGGATGAAATCAGATGAAGAAAAGCCTGTTTTGGAGTTCTGCCTGTTATCAAGTTGGGCTCCATAGCCTTGACAGTCTGGGAGGGAAGATGGAGATAGTGCTGAAATCCCCTCACCTGCCTTTTCCTCTTCCGGCTGACCTGTGACTCACAACTGATCTTCCAGTTGATGTTTTTGGACTAAATAGACAGGATCTGTGTGTGCCACCCCTTCTGTCCCAAGGCCGTCCTGGGGGGTAAGTGGGATGGGGCCATTGCCTTGTTTGTACTTGGCTATTTATGTTGGTGCTGCCAGGTCTCTGAGCTCAGAGGTGGCCTCTTGTACAGACCTACTGCCTAGGAATAAAAGACACTCCACCTCTCTCTCCAGAGAGCCACTTGTCAATAAGCCCAAAGATGTCTGGTGGAGGAAGGTTATGGAAGCCAGTAATTCTTGGTCTTGGGAAAAGGTGGAATGACAAGTTGCTGATTGTTGATATTTCTTTTATTTTTCTCATGAATCAGAAAGGCTTTGCTAAGGAAAGATCTGGGAAGAATAGAGATATTTTCCATATGCCCATCACAGATTAGCATCCTTCAAACCCTGTATTCCTCAGGCCCACAAGTGAGTGGGGGTGAAGGTGCCCTCAAGGTGGCTATGGTGAGCCAATCTTCCCTATTGTTTAAATACATTACTGTAGTTTGGCCAGCAATTTGACCTCTGTGGTAACATATTTAATTAATAAGATAAGCCAGCCTCACAACTAAGTACCTAACATTTCCAAGCCCACTCACATTTGATGCAGGGACATGTGAGTATGCGGAGAGAAGTAGTGATTTAAATCCAGATTATTTAAGTTGGATCAACTGAAGTGTTTTATAACCAAACCATCTGGCCCCTTGGTTTTGCTCAGGGGAAGTAAATGTTCATTTAAATGAAATTGAAAAGGCAATGTGGCAACATAAAAGAGCTCTCTGTACTTTTTCCACGCTGCCTCAAAGGTCCTTTGATTTTCAGGCCAGCGTCCCACTCTCTGCTCTGTTGAGGGTGGGTGACGACCAGAGGTGCAAGCTCCAGCAGCCTCGGACAGATGTGCTTCCCCGGGCACTAGTTGTGCCTCTCATCAGTAAAGAAATTTTTAGTTTGCTTCCTTAATTGTATAATTATTTATTTGTAAATTATATACATGTACTACTGTACTAAAATATTATGTACATTATAAAACATACACAAAAATAGAAATTTAAAAGAAGATGAGATAAAATAAATCTAAATCAAAGTTCTAATATTTCTTCCTGTATTCTAATGGACTATCATGTTCCCTGTCCCAATCTCTGCCCTAATATAACCAGTTTCTAAGACTTTCCAAATCCAGGGCCCTGGGAGATGCAATAAGTGGTTTGCGCCACCTGGTGATCCTGGGAAGTGGTTGCAGGTACAGGGGTTCCTGGGGTAGGAGGGGGCTGGCCCTTGATCTTGGTGTCTTGAGCCTCCATCCTGGCATTCAATGAGGGTCAGTCGTGTGCTGCACCCTGTAAAGGGTGATGGGGACAAAGTGGTGAGAAAAAGATCAGTTTCCTGTCCTCATGGGGCTCAGAGTCTAGTGGGAAGAGGGACAGGCAGTTACCATTACCTTTTGGGACTCTGGGAGGAGCCGAGGAGAGAAGCCAAGTGTGATCCAACAGAGAGAAGAAAGAATTTGGGGAGTGGGGAAGAAACTCTGACTCAGATAACTGCTCAAATATCCTAAAAATTCTAGGGGACAGGGTAGTAGGAAGGAAGTTGCTTAACAGGATGGAGACACTTTGTGAAAGGCCACACTGAAGTTCCCCCAAAGCAGAAATTTGAGAGGCAGAGTGGAGAAGGGTCTCTCTGGCCAAATGTGCTCCCAGGGGTGGATGTCACAAGGAGGAGGAAGCCAAGGAATTATATTAGGTCTTGGCTTTGGAGGTTGGCAGGTATGGCAGGTATCTTAGAATTCAGAACAATAATGAAGGCATCGTATGAGGTCATGTAAAGGTCATTGAATTCTGAATTAACTGGGGGTCACATAGAGATCAGAAGTTCATTTGAGTCATGGAGGTGGTTTCTGACTGAAAATTCAGAAGGTAACAACTTAGAGCCCTCAGAAGGGTCAAATAAGGACACTAAACTGGGTCATGATAAGGTCAGTGAATTTACCAGGAGTACATACAGAGTAATGTGGGATTCCATGGAAATCAGAGGACACATAGAGAATTATCAGCCTTCAGAAAAATGTAAAGTCAAAAGCAAACTGAAGAGATGGCAGAGGGGCCTGGATGAGGCCATCTGATGGGGCCTGAGAAGGGCAGTGATGTGCCGGTTTGCACAACAGCTAGTCAATTATTTCTTTTTGTTTCTTTGTCGTAAGTGCTTGCCTTAGCACCCCATAATGAATACAGAGACTTTACCTCTTCTTTTACTTTTCTCCATCATCTCTCATTCAGTTTTTGCCACACTGACAACGTGATTCAAGGATGCAAGGCATGGTGGTGTCATTACCACCCAAGTAGCACTTACTAGACGTCTACCAGGACAGTCCCGGGTCCACAGCCACTCTCTGAAGTAGGTATTTTCATCCTCATTTCACATCGAGGACCCTGCAGCCTAGATAATTCTTAGACAACTCACTAGCTGTGGCAGGTGTTCAAACTCAGGTCCCATTGGTGCCTGAGCCCTCCCAATCCTAAACCTCTTTGTCCCACCTCTCTATAGGTCTCTGACTACACACACACACACACACCATACAGACACACATATCCACCTCAGCTCTTTGGAGAGATTTCCTCGTGTTCTGGCTGGAATCTTCTGGTTCCTGGTGCTGGGTATTGATTTAATAAATTAGTTGATGAGATGAAAGACTTAACTCTGGACCTCCATCTGCCTCCTCTATACCTGAAATCATGTACCCTTCATCAAGGGCTGCAGGTTTAGACAGGTCCTGGCTCTGAGGGGGTATAAAGTTGGGGAAAGAGCAATCCCCTGTGGGCTTATGAGCTGCAGCTGTTGTGGTCCTTCTGGCAGCAAGGGTACCCATTATGCTTCTTTGCATGTCCAGACTTTGCCTGTGACGTGCCCAAGGCCCCAAGGGTCATCTTGCCTCAGCTACCCTGTGCCAACCCCACAACCCTTCCTTCTTCACCCACCCAGGCCCGGAAACTGTTGCCTCAAATCCAGCCCCATAGCTCTGGGGCAAGAACTGGGCCAGAGTTCTGAGGCTGAGTTTGAAGCAGAACAATTTGCGTCAGTCCCTTGGCCAGGTTCCTAGCAGCCAGGGGGGACACCTTGTAAATGGTTTTGGAAGAGGGAGGTGGGTTGGAGCCTGTCCTGGGAGCTGGGGCCAGGGAGATTGGAGAGAGGGTCACTTTCTCCCAGGGACTGCACTTGCCCTCTCCTACCTTCACTTGAACACCCCATGCACTTCCACCTCAGGTACTCATCCTGTCTTCCCTCCTCATCTGGGCTAGGCACACACAGTCAAACAGGAGTTATTTCTGATTTTATTTATAATATAAAAATGTTCAAGTGTCAACAGTCAGGTGTTCGGACATTTCAGGGCAGGGTTCCCATTTGTTTCTGTTTGGGATTTTTTTTTAAAACAATTTCTTTTTTTGACAAATTAGCTTGGATCCAGTTTTGAGGGTTGGGGAGGGTAGGACTGGAGAGAAAGTGGAAGTCATAGGTGGGTATGGGGACTGGGGCCAGGTTGTGAGAAGGAAATGGTTACTTTATTGCTAAAAGGGGAACTGAATACACTGTCGAGTGGCTCTTCTCGGTCCCAGCGTGACCATGCATCCAATCTAAAGAATCTGAAATGCAAAGGACATGCAGGCATAAAATAGAAAAGACGACCTGTAAACGAAGGTGCTGCAGAGGACAGAGGGCATCCTGGAGGCCGCAGGGGAGGAGGAGCCATGAATATTGGGCCCCTGGCACAGCTGCCCCCTCCCTGGGCCTGGGGCTGCTGGGGAGACCTCTTTCTGGCCCCCCTCCCTTAGCAGCTGTGAGGAGCGGGGAGAGCCCCTCCCCATTCTGGTTGCTGTCGCTGGGCTTCTGTCTTCCCCTGTAAGTTACCTGATCCCAATTCTAGCACTTGAACCTAGGATCCCTGCCCTCTACTCCCAGGGGGCCCAGGACTCCAAATATGGCTGGGTACAAAACTACTTCTGTCCTCAGTTTCTTCCTCAGCACCCACCATCTTCACCCCATAAAACCCTCACAGTCTCTCTCCCTGCTTTCGCTCACTCAACCAGCTCTGGATCCTATGGCCCACCACCACCCCGCAACCCAGACGTCTCTCCAGGAGCCCCAGATTAGCGTACAGCAAAAGGCACCACAATATAGGTTTCTATTAAAGAGTCAAAAAATTGGCCCATCTCTCTTTTTTTTTTGTTGTTTCTTTTTTTTTCCGAAGCTGTAAATCAGGATGTTACATATAAATAGTTTCCCTATAAAAACGTCTTTGCCGTTAGCTAGTATTATAAGACAATTTTTGCTAAAATGAAAATAAAACATTTTTGTTATACTTTTTTCCTTTTATAGAAAATAAAAATATTTTTATTTCTTTTTTTTTTCCCTCCTTTCTCCAGTCGTTGGTCTCTGTTCTCCTTAAAGACAGTGGGGCGGGCGAGGCGGAGGGGGCGGCGGGGCCCTAAAGGGGCGCCGAGTCCTGCTTGGCCCGCGGGGGCGGCCCGCGGCTGTGTCTGCTGCTGGCCCGCGTGCTGTGGCTGTCCAGGGAGTAGTAAGTCCTGCTGTCGGCCGCCGGGCACAGCGGCGGCGAGTCCGAGCGCAGAGCGTCGTGCGCCGCGCGCAGGCCAAGGAAAGGCGTGCTTTCGGCCGCCAGTGCCCCGTCCGCGTCGTCCGCGTCGTCGTCCGAGGCCGAAGCCGAGCCGCCCCCCGAGCCGCTGCTCAGAGACAGCGAGTCCCGCGCCGCGCGTGCGCGCTGCGCCGCCAGCCCGTTGAGGCGCGAGCGGCGCCAGCGCCGGGGCCCCGCCGACGTCCTGCGGGACGCGCCGCGCGCTCGTGGCCGCGGCGGTGGCGGGGGCGCGCACTCCTGCGTGGTCTCGTACTCGTCGTCTTCTGGGATGCGGAAGGGGCTCGCAGGCAGGCTGCCCAGGCTGCCGCCCAGCGCGCAGGCCCCACGCCGCGGTCCCGGCCCAGCCGCCGGGTAGTAGTAGCTGTCGTAGCTGCGCTGCATGTCCGCATCTGGCCCGGGCCCTGGCCCGGGGCCTGGGGGCGCCGGGTGCCGCAGCAGTGGCTGCTGCTCCGCCAGGCGGTAACTGATGGGCGCAGCCGGTGGCAGCGACACAGCGTGTGCGGAGTTGGGAGAAGTGATCTCAAAAGTCGGCACCTGCGTAGCCAAAGAGTAGTGGAAGTCCACGGGCGAGAGGCGCGCGGGCGTGGTCAGGGCCGACACGTACCTGCAGGGAGAGGCAGAGGCGTGGGTCAGGGGGTCTCGGATGAGAGGGTGGGCCCCAACCAAAATCATCTTGTGAGGGATCCTGTCTGCAAGAATGATGGTGGTACTTCTCTAAGACCTCATGCAATTCCCTTAATATCTCCAATCTATATTCCTTATTTGTTAAGCGAGGATAACCATAGTGCTCATTCCATTGCAGTATTGGGACGATTCCAGATATGGTGTCAGGGGAATGTCTTAGCCCAGTATCTGATCCGTGGTAAGTCTTCACGAATGATCGTTTGTTGTGGGAATGCTCACAGTCATGGGGTCAGGCATTTTATCTATGTATGATCTCATCTAATAGTAATTTTTTAAGACCTTTAGGTTACACACAGGAAACTGAGACTCAGGACGTTTGAGTTCTTTGCTCTGGGTTCCACACTTAGGTAGTGGCAGAGCTGGAATTTGAACACAGGGCAGGAAAGAACCAGAATGCCTATTGTCCATTTCCAGAAGCCACTAGTCCCTATTCATGTATCCCTATTACCTGGACTCAGTGCTCCTGCAGGGACGGTTCATCCCATGGCTGACAGCTTTGGTGAGGGCAACATGCCTTCTTATATTGAAATCAGAAGCCTCCTCAGGGAATTGACCATTCACACCTTCGGCAGGGTGCTCAGCCAGGGCTAACAGATACCCCACTACAAGGGTCTCTGCTTGGGGCCAATGACACCTAGTGACTTCTGAAGCTAGTATCTCCCAGTCTGGATCTTGGGCACCTGTCCTTTTTCATTCTCCACATCCCTCTTGTGAGCCCAACAGCCTTTTGTCCACTTCAGAACAGGAACCACCCATCTCCATGATTCCTTTTCACAGTGCATAGCTAAGCACCTCACTGCTGTCTAGAACCAGCCCCAAATTTCTGTTATGTCTTTTTTTTTTTGAACACAAATGTTTATAGCAGCTTTATTTACAATTGCAACCAAGGTGTCTGAGAGGTGAATGGATAAACAAACTGCCTTTTGATTGTAGGAATCCTCTTTTAAAAATTTCTCTGTTATGTTCTTTTTGAGTCAACTGATTTCCCCTACCCTGGTCCGCCACATCTTCTCTATCTCATGTGTAGATCTGATAATCTAGTCTTACCCATTCCCCCATCCTTGGGGACACCCTCCATCCTATCCTGGGCCAGCTGTTCTCCCTGGTTGTGTCCCCGTCCCATGGTGTCTCCTTCATTTTGCAGCTCCCAGAGCAATCTTTTAAGTCCCAGCTCTGCTAAGGAGGCTCCTTCCTACTTACTCACCCAGACTCCACCTCCTGAGCAGAATCCCTTGGCTCTGGTCCATCTGTGTGGCCCCAGCCTGCCTGTTTAGGCCCAGCTTTGCTGTTCCCCACAGCCCACCGTGCTCCAGGCACCTCACTCTCTGATCTTACTCTTAAGTGCCTCTGTTGGAACAGCTCCAGTGGTTCCTTCCCTGTATACAAAAGGCTTTCCCCATTTCTCTGCCTCTTGCCTTCCTATCACCCCCTAAGGAGCCCTGGTATTGTGGTTACTGTTGATGATAGTAGTGATAGGTATGAGGCAAAGAGCTCTGCATATATTTTCTCATGTGGCCTTCATCAAAACCATGCATACTAGAATTCTCTCTGATCTACAGCTTATGGAACAGTGTATAGAGGCAATCAGCCTGCCCTGAAACATGCAGGTTGTGCAGCTGCCCTTGGACAGGTTAGTCTTAGGAAACCTGGCTGTTTCCTAGAGCTTGCTGTCAGACTGGGCTTCTCTGCCCTGGAGTGGTCCCTGGAGTGGTGTCCTGTGCTTAGCACTTTCCATAGGCTGCTGTGAGCATTAGTGGTTTGTTCCTGTGACTGGGAGTGCCTCAGGGACGGGAAGCAGGAGGGCCACCGCTGACTCCCCAGGCAGGCCTGCCTAGCCTAGACTTGGCACAGAGTAGGCTGTCAAAAGTGGGAGGGTAGCTGAGCATGGTGGTACATGCCTGTAATCCCAGAAGCTGGGTAGGCTGAGGCAGGAGGAACATGAGTTTAAAGCCAGCCTCAGCAAATGTGAGGCACTAAGCAACTCAGTGAGACCCTGACTCTAAATAAAATACAAAATAGGGCTGGGGATATGGTTCAGTGGTTGAGTGCCCCTGAGTTCAATCCTGGGTACCAAACAAACAACAACAAAGAAGGGAAGGTATCTACTTCTCTCCTTTCTTCTTGGCTCAAAGCTTCTTGATTGGTGCTCCTTCCTCTGCTGTCCTCCCATAGATGCAAGTTGCCGAGGACCACTTGGGGGCTGAGTAATGGGGGTGGGTCCTATGGTTCCTAGCTTGGAGTCAGAGAAGGGGAGTTTCCTTGGTCCTTCTGCATCCTTTGCTGGATAACTCAACAGTGCCTTGAATGCTGTACCTTGTTGCCCGTGCTGTCTGGCCTGGGTCATTCTTGGCGCATGTCTATTGTGCACTGGTCAGTGTCCTTGAAAACAACCTCCCTTTCCACCCTCCAACCAACTTGGTCTTTGTGTCTTTCTGCTTCTGCTGGGACATGAGTCCTCTAGGTGATATGGGGATAGGGCAACCATAGTACCTGGTTGTCTGGAATAGCCCCTATTTATTCCTGAAGTTTCAGTGCAATTATTAATCTCCCATTCTTCTTTGAAAAGTATCCTAGTAGGATAATAAGTCAGGTGGTCACTATGTGCCAGGGTCCATTACAACTCAGCTGTAATAACCTTTCTGGGATCTTGTTTACTCACCTGAAAAAATGGAGATGAGTCTCTTTGAAAGGTCTTTAAGATACCCTAAGGGTCAGCCTTGGGTCAGTGGTACCAGCCCTCTGGCCAAAGTGGGAGCCAGGTCAGGGGGTAGGAACTAACCTCTCACTGTGCGGAGAGTCACGCAGGGAATCTACGGAGTCGTGGTAGGGTGGCACAGCAGCCCTGCGCCGCTCCTCCAGGCTGTATGCTGCTGCTCGCCGCGCCCGAGCCTCCACACATGCTGGGCTGTTGCACTTGCTGGTGCCCACTGATGACAGCATGATGCCAGACTGGGAGTCGGAGGTCAAGCTCTCAGAACGTTCCAGGCTCCACGTGTGGCTCTCATGTCTGGGATAGCCAGTGGGGACAAGGCAAGAGGTCAGGAAGGGGTAGAGTGGCCCAGCAGATGTGGAACTTTGGCCACCCAATCCCTATATCTTCATCCCATCTTGGGCTCCTTTGAATCATGGGCTGATATGGAGTATCACAAATGTCCAAACTTGACATTGGGAGGAGGGCTGGGTGCCATGGCTGGGTGAGCTGCAATGTGTAGAGGCCTCTTCCTTTATATCTTGCAGCCATCTTTCCCCTAGCCTTGCCCCAGAGCCCCTGTGTGGGACTCTTTCACCCTCATGGCCCTTAGCCACCTTATCTCAGGACCCCAGCCCCAGTGGCCAGTCTTTGGGAGCTCTGACCATTCCATGGTACTTCTCAGGGAAGGAGGGCCAGCCATGTTATTTCTCAAGCTGTATAAGCCTCTGTGTTTATGTTGATAGATCATCCCTGTTCTGAAGAGAAGGCCAAGGGAGACCACAATTTGTGAGCCAAATTCAGGAGAGGGTGTCAAATAACTCTGGATGAATGAGATAAAAGACAGGAATCCTCAAGTTTCTGTGGGCCTTGACTTACTCACCTGCGGCTGGAGGTGGGCGTGGCTGTGGAACAGTGGTGAGAAGGAGAACAGGAGTGGCTCCCAGAGAAAGTGGTCTCAGTTTCCCTCCGGATGACGTGGTCTGTGGCTGGCACATTCTTGGAGATGTACTGGGATAGACAGAGAATTGGCAGGAGTTAGTGATGGGGACCAGGTAGGCTCTCGCTGGTGAGGGTGGGAAAGTAATAAGTACTGAGCTCTAGGTGGGGGGAGTGATCAGTGGATGACAAGCGGCTTTGATGTTGGAGTGATTTGGGCTCCAGCCAGCAACTCCCCACCCTTCCCTTGCAAGTGGGCAAAGCGAGGCCAGCCATCCAGGGAGGCAGTGCCTAGCAGGCAGGGATGATCCAGGGGCTGGGCTGGCTGCTGTCCTGGCAACTTGTGTGAGAAGCCTGGCTGACCAGCAAGGCTCAGAGGGGATCCTGGAACACCACTCACATCTGCCATCTGAATTTCTTCGGGGTCTAGCCGGGGGTGGCTGGGCCCATTGGCCAGGCTCCGGTTCTGGTGGGCTGGGCACATGTTCTGCCGGAGGTGGTTGTGCATCTGCTTCCGCTGTTTTCTGCATAGAGGGAGGGTAGGTGAACCTGCCAGGTCCCCTGTAGTAGATGAACTTCCCTCCAGGGCACATGAGTAGTTAATGTGTGGAACCCCACTGCTTTCTAGTTTCGTGACCCTGGGCAAGTTACGGAAGTTCTGCCTATTTTAGTTGCCCCATGTGTGAAACCATTCCAAAGACTGTTGAGCATTAAAAATATATAAACTATTCATGCACATTGCTGGCACTCTCCCTCCCTCATTCATTCATTTGTATTCATTGAGTTTTTACTGTGTTCCAGATACTACTCTGGAGCAGAGAAGTCAGACATGGTCCCTGTCTCATGGATCCTGCAGGCTAGTGGGGGAGGCAGATGATAATCACATAAACAAGTAAATGAACTCGATATTTTCCCTTAAGTTTTATGAAGAAAATAAAAACAGGGTGCTGTGGTTAGGAAGCCAGGGCCTGTGGGACTATTTTACATTGGCACATATTAAATGCTCAATAAATTTGTTTTATAATAAGCGATTCTTATGTCACTCCCCTGTCTAAAACCTTCATTGGCTCTCAGGGTCCCATTTCACCCTCAAATCCTATCTCTCACTGCCTTCCCTTCACCCCAGCTTTCTGCACCCCTGGACAGCTTGTTTCAGATCCCCTGTCCTCTCTGGCCTCTGGGCTTGCACACATTCTAGTCCATCCACCTGGAATACTTTCTTTGCCTCTTCACCTGCTAACTCTTGCTCACAGGCTCCAGCCTAAATGCTGCATCCATGGGAAAACCCTTTCTGCCCTCCAGCTAAGGTTAGGTGACTCTAAAATATGTCTTGTGACACTGGACCACTTGCTTCGAGCACTGAATAAAAGTCTGCTGAAGAAATGGATAAATGCAGTGGTGTTGGAACAGAGGCTTGCTTTTCCCTCAGTTCTTAGACACAATCCCTAATGTGCCCAGGCTCCTCCTCTGGGCTCCCTGAACCCCAACTCCCTCCTTACTCTCTACCAGTCTTTATTGAACTTATCCAAGATGATGGCAGCTGGACCTTCAATCCTATCAATAGAGGTAGTAGGGGTTCAGACCTACAGGCTCCATCCCCCAGATGATGGTCATTTCCAGCCTTGCTTTCCAGGTAGGAGCAGATGAGACAAATATCATTTACTGTACTACATCATGCTTCAACCTTTATGGGATCCCCATCATCTACAGGATAAATGTAGATTTCCTGGCTTGGCATCAAGGTCCTATGGTGGCATCTGGATCCCAGCTATCTTTTTAGCCTCTTGCCTCCTCTTCTATGATCCAGTTCTTTGGCCCAACTAGTCCAGGCTGCTTCTGTTGCAGGTGTGACTGCCCCATCTGTGCTTGTCTTTAGCTGGCACTCTGCTACCCAAACTGCTCAGCTCCCTGAGCTTATGCCCCGACCTGTCTTCTGCCCAGAGGTGGCCTAGCCTCATCTTCTCTGTGTTCTTGTCTCAGTTGCTCCCAGGGTGGGGACAGGTGGTGCCTGTGAGGTGCCTCCTTCCAGGGAACACAACCTTCTCTGTGCCTCCCTCATTCTTCCCTAGCACTGCTTCAGCACCTCCTGCTAGACAGGGCACATGCTCCTAGAGCCATTGTGGTCAGCTGTGCATTCCTCTCAGGCCCTCACAATGTCCTTTGATGCCTACACTAGGCTCATTCCCATGAGGACTTGGAGTGGTTCCTCAGTTTTCTCAAGATCACATGGGAAACGGCAGAGCCAGGTTGGAACCCAGACTTGTGTTCTTTCAAGCCCTGTGCCCATGAGCCCGCTTTGTTCGGTCATCTAGGGCTGTCTCCCCACCTCTATGCCTGTTTCCTGATCCAGCCCCTGAGCCCCACAGTTACAAAGGCCTCTGAAGGGGCCACTGGGGATAGGAGACTGAGGCCAGGCATGGTGAGGTACAGGAGAAGAGCCTGTCCTTACAAAAACATTTTGGTGGCCATCCCCTGGCTTGGCCTGTCCCCTTCCTGAGCACTTGCCACTCACTTGGTCTTGCAGTAGGCGACCACACAGACGATGCCCACGACCAGCAGAGCCACGCAGATGCCAGTGATGGTCAGGACCCTCTTCTGGTATAGCTCCTCGGCTTCTGCAGAGGCAGAGTGGACATGAGGAGGTGGGGCAGGAGGCAGGCCTGGGGGGATGCTGGTGCAGACACCCCTGCCCCCAAAGCCTCAGGCTCCCTCAGCCTGGGTCCTGCCAGTTCCCTCCATTCCTCCCTCCTGCCTGCTTCTGGATGGTCCCCCCATATTCCCACCCACCCATGGGCCTGGTCACACCCTCCCAGATCCCAGGCCCACCCAGAGCATGGGGGTGGAAAATGCAGGGGATGGGAGAGAATGGAGTAGAGAAGTAGAGGAGCGCAACCTAGTCTGGCCAGCAGCACCCCTGCCCTGCTCCACAGCAGCCTGGCAGCTGCAAAGAGCCTTGGTGACTGTGGAGAGTTTTCTTTATGATAATGAACATGGAAACCTGAGCAAAGGCCTGGATCAGATACTTTAGCTTCCCTATGAAGCTAAAGTTGTTGACAGGATGCAAGACCAGAGGTGGGATGTAGGAGGGATGTAAGGGCCAGGAGCATGATAGAGCAGACAGGGCCCAGGAGGGGACATGGAAGAAAGGCCTGGTCAGAGTTGTGGCCTGGCCCATTGCAGCCTCCCATGTCTGCAGGTGAGAAGCCCACCAGTGGCAGCACAGGCCCCTGGCATCTGCACACATCTATCCTTGTGTGTAAAGAACACCCCCACCCTTGCTGGGGAGTTGAGTAAGACTGGGCCTCCAAGCCCCCAGCCTCAACTCTCCTCTCTACTCTCCATGCCTCTAAAACAGACCACTAGGAGGAAGAGAAGCAAAAAGTGACAGTACTGGCCACAGCCCAGAAAGCTCACCCCACCCCACCTGCACTTGCTGGCTGGCCCTGCTTCCCTGCTTAGGAATAAGTGGAGGTGGGACTCCCACATCTTGGTGGAGCCCTGTCCCCTTGGGCTTATAGCATCTCCCATGCAGAGGCAAGCACACAGCAACCCCAGGGCTGCAGACCCTTCAGACCCACACGTGTCCACAACTATGCCTGCCAGAGTCACAGGCACAACCTTCACAAAGATAAACCCATACCTGCTCTCTTTTCTCTCTCCCTCTCTCTCTCTCTCTCTCTCTCTCTCTCTCTCTCTCTCACACACACACACACACACACACACACACACACACAGAGTTAACCACACACTCCAGTAACAGTTGCATACACAGACCCAGGCACACCGACCCACAGTTAAGGCTCTCTTAACCTGACCTTTGTCTCACACCCCCATCTTGACTCTGTCCCATAGCCCTGTCTCCAGGCCTCTTTCCCTCTTTACCCCTCAATTTTCTGCTGTCAGGCATCTGCCTCCACCATTTCTTGGAGACTATTCTGGTCATGGTCACCAAAAACCCCCATGTTCCAAGTCCTGTGGTTATTAAAATGCCTCCTTGTGGGGCACACTCTATGGCCTTGGAGTGGCGCTCCTCGCTGAGCTTCCTCCTACATGGCAGGCTGGTCTTCCCATGTCAGTGGCTGCTCCCTTCTTCTCTACTTGGGTTGGATGGTAGAAGGGCTCAGAGCTCTCAGCCTTCTTTCTTTCCTCTGTCTCCCTGAGTGACCTCATATAGACAGACTTTAAATATCATTTCTTTACATTCTCTTTCTGTCTCCTGCTCTGATTTCTCCCTAAGCTCCAGACTCAGGTATCCAAAGGCCAAGGCCAACCAGAACCAGTTTCCATACTCCTCCCCATCTCTTGTAGCATCTCTCTCCTGTGGCTCTGGCCCCAAAACACAACCCATTCTGAATCACTCCCTTTCTTCCCATCTTCCCTGATATCTGATCCAAGTACTACAAGTACTCTCAGCTCTACCTTCCAAGTAGGTCCTGGATTTGACCATGTGACCATTTCCACAGCTCCCAACTTGGTCCAGGATGATGCCTCCTCTCACCCAGCGATGGTCACCGTATGGCAGGCCTTTCTGTGTCTGCTGCTCCCTAGCTGCCCCCAGTGCCAGGCTGTTGTCTACTCAAAGCTACATTAAAGTGTAAAGTAGATCATTTTAGTTCCCTGCTTAAAACTCATGATAGTTTCCAGTGTAATTAAAATAAAATCCAAGGTCTAAGGACCCCAATTACTTGGTTTCAACCTCCCTTTGAGTCTTATCTGTGGTCCTTTCCCCCAGTGCTTGGAATCACTGGTGGTCTTTTTCCACTAAACCAGACAAATCCCATTGAACCACATGACTTGGTTCCTGCCTTCAACACTTCCCACCACCCCACCAAATTGTTTGCAGGACTGACTACCTGATGTCACTTTATGGGACAAGCCTCCCCTGACCACTTAGGCACAGTAGCACAATCCCATGACCTCATTTTATTTTCTGTCTAGCATTTATTTTCACCTGATATCTTCCTGTTTGTTGCCACCTCACCCATGAATAGGAGCACCAGGAAGGCAGGGACTCATGTCTGTAGGTTCTGGTGATGAGTGTTTGCTGCATACACACTCCCCTTTAAGACACACACACACACACACACACACATCTGCACATCCTACACTCACCTCCACACACATACCTAGGTCCAACTGCAAATGCTCAACTTAACATAGAGATATCCCACTGCCCCTCCACGCCCTCGCATCCTTCCCTGAGACCTTGCAAGTGTACACATTCCCCACATCCCATCAACACAGACGCCTGCAGATTTACCTCATGCATCCTTTCTCCACGATCCTAGATCCCTCAGAGCCTCCACCCCTCCTTCCCACCCAACTTCAGGCTGTGGACACAGACACATTTAACATGCAGACTCTGAGCTCTATCTTCTATTGAGAACAGCTCATGGGGCCAGGTGGTGGCAGAGCTAGGTCTTCCCCAAACCTGCTGCGAGAACAGCCTTGGCATGTTTGTAGGCTCTGCATCACATCTGAAATTCTGACCCCCAGAAGTCCCCCACCTCCGGATCTCCTGCATATCTCTTGCTGGAATACACTGAGACTCTTGGGGCCAGGGCAGAGTCTCTCTGAGCAAAACCACAGAGTTGGAAACAGACCCTCAAAGTCCCTCCTAGTCCAAAGAGTCTCCCAGGGGCAGTTGCATAGGGTAGGGAGTCATGTGTCAAATTCTGAGCCAGGGCAAGGGGCAGGCAACAGAAACTAGCCCAACCCAGACCCTTGCTGGTATTGCTCATGGATGCACACATGTGCCATCGTGGGGACAGATCATGGAAGGAGTGATAGTCTCAAGCAGATGGCAAAGCCCAGCAGATAAGACACAGGGCAGGGGCAGAAGGAAATGTGGATTATCAGCTACTAGCCTGGTGCAGAATGAAAAGCAATGGACATGAGAAAAGAAAAGAGGATTCAAGTCAGATGGAAAGGGATGCCTCTCTGCACAACTCCCAAACCAGGCTTCAGTAGTTTCTGGACATTGGCCCTTTAAGAAGCCACATCCACACAGGGGCCCTGTCTCTTGTTGGATGCCCACTGGGTTGCACAGCTCGGGAAGGCTCCCTCCCCTGAGGCCTTCTAGCACTTGGTCTCCTCTATGCAGGGGGTGCTACTGTGCGGTGGAGGCACAGTCTGAACCTCAGGGTACACGGATGGCCATGAGCTGCTTTTATCTGCCCCCAAATCAACATAGCTTATTCTAGGACATCTTGATGGGGCCAGGGGAGATTTTTAAAATCATCCCCTTTCCATTTTTGGAAAGGAAATGAAACATTCAGCACCCATGGGGTCAGGGACTATGGAGGGGGCTGAGCGGATGGCGCAGAGTGATACATAGAGGTTCCATACCCTTTAATTCAAATCCAAGGTGCTCTGGCAGTGCAGAAGAGATGGGGGTAAGAGGGGGAGGGGTGAAGGGAGAGAGGCAGACAGAGATGGGAGGGGGAGGGTGGGGGGGAGAAAGAGAGAGAGAAAGAGAGAAACGTTGGTCAGGATTCTTCAGACACCCGGCAGCCAGCCTGTGAGGTGAAAGCAGGTTAGTAATGTCCCTTCCTAGCCCCCTGAGCTCCTTCCCTGGTGCCCAGTCCCCAAGAGCCCCAGGAGGGTTAGAGAAAAGCAATGTTAGAATTCACAGGCAGAGCATGTTCTTTGAAGGTGAGCAGTGGGGTTAGTACCTGGTGGGGAGGCATAGGCGAGAATCAATTGGCAAATGTCTCCCTGGAGGAAAGGGTGACTGGGGACAGGGTTCTGAGGAGTGCCTGGTCGCCTCCTCTCAGCTCCAGTGCCAGCCCTTCAGAGCTCTCAAGTCCTCCTGGAGAGGGCCTGACCAGCTCCTAGCTCATTCACAGGGCCCTTTCTTCTGTTCAAAATGAGGGCAAGATCCCTAGGCCGGCCCCATAACCCTGGCCTGTCCCACAGGTCCGGCTGGCTTTCTCATCTCCTAGGAGCCTAAGGGTGGAGCCTCAGAGTCTGTGAGGAGCAGGAGCACAGAGAGGAGGAGGCTGTAGGCAGCAGGTCACTTTTCCACTTACTGCCTCAACACCCTGGAAACCTGCAGGGGCTGGGCATGGTGCCAAGACCGATCTTGCTACTTAGAAGAGCAGACTGCAACTAGGAGAATGAGAAGATTGGAGAACTTGTGAGTGCCTCATTTAATGGATAAATTAGTCTTGGAAGTGAGATCAATGAATGTGTGGTTTTAGGCACCTATGAGGTAGACATCTACGCCATTGACAGGTTAAATAAGGGTCAACTCTGCCACCTAACTGCTGTGTGTCATTGAGAGATACCCAACCTATCTAGATCTCAGTCTCTTAGCTGTTAAATAGGGTTAAGGCTCAACCATGGGGTCCTGGGAGGTTTGCAAACCTGGCTGTACTTCAGAATCCTCCAGACCAATAGGATCAGGCTTGGGTAGGAGCCCAGAAATCACAACAGTGTTTTTAAAAAGCTCATGTCCCATCCTATGGTGCATCCAGCACTGGTTTGCAGGACTGAGTCTCAGTTTTGCCCTTAATTTGCTGTGTGAATGTGGGTAAGTCAGTTTCTGTTTCCTAATCTGTCAAAAGCACATGTACCCAGTCAGAGGCAGCAGCAAGCAGGCCTGAACAGCAGAGTCTCTGCACACTGTGCAAGGGCCCAGCTCCTGCCGAGCTGGGTTCACTCCCTCTCTGGCTTCCACATAAGCACAGTCAACTTGGCTAGACTCAGGGAAATACGAAGTCGTGTGTGACGTTCTCATCTGCTGCAGAGGAAGGGGAACACAGGCAACTAGCAGGAAGTCCTGAGCATTATTCACCCCTAGGTCTCTCTATGCTTCCTAAAAGGGATTCTAGATGGCTCTGCATTTGGAAAAGGATAGGAGAGGAGGGTGATTCTTCAGGGATGAAAGTGGTCCTTGACTTCAAGAGCCTTGAGGAAGATCCTGGGGCTTGGGCTCCCCAGTTCTGTGCAGGGACCATACCAAGGAAGCACTGACCCTAGCCCTCTAAACATGAGTCCTCTGTGTACTCCTGCTAACCCGAGCCTGGAGGGTGATCTTAAGGTTTTGGCTTCTTTGCAGTTTTGCTCTGAATGCAGAGGTAGGAGAAAGTCATCTTAAGTATGGTTTGTCCACTCTTCTCTAGGATTCCCAGAGCTGGCCAGCCAGGCAAGTTGATGTAAAATCTTGACAGACTCCAAAGGCCTCAGACATTTCACTGAATAGTTAATTCTGGGGTCCAGGGACCTTCCAGGCAGCTCAAGAGTGCTCATATTGTTTGGCTATCCAGCCGTGTTCCTTGGAAAAAACAGCAGGGCTTGACCACGGCCTCCTGGATACTAAGAGCTGGTCTGAGCCCCACTTTTGGACAAAGCTATTGTATTATATGAGGCAACTGGGACCCAGTAGTTCCAGGACACTTTCATAAGGTCACACAGGAAATCAGAAGGCAGAAGGGAGATTGGAGGCTCTGTTTCTGGTCTTTTTGGACTATGCTTTGGCTAGTTCTGCCTCTCTGGTGAGGCCTTTCTGGCTAGTCCTGAGAGCAATGACTACCTGGAGAAGCAAGGAAAGGCTCCCAAAGCACTGTAAGAGTTTTCATCTGTGTCAGTCCTCTGGGAACCAAATCATAGCATCAGCAGAAGCTTCCAGGTCTACTGATGGTGTGCTGTTTAAGTCAAAGGCTATACTGTTTATGGTTGGCATGATTGGTGAGGTCACTGGGGGCCTGGCCAGTCACCAGGAAGGCAGCCTTCTTCCTGGGATGTGCAGAGAAGAATTCCGAGGGGCCTACAGCTGCATCTACCCCAGCTAAAATATGAATGTCCCACTCATATTCATTGCCTGCCACTCAACCAGGATGGGGTGGTACCACTGAGTCACAGGAAGGTCCTATTGTTCAGAAATTTGCATACTAACCAGTAATCATGGCAACCTGATGCTGGACTTTCAGCAGGGCGAAGCTATCCAGGCAATATGCAAATTGTTCAATCCACAGTCACAAGGTGCCTGGACAAGGAGGCAGTGATGTGTATGCAGATGTGAGCATGTACTCCTGTGTTTGCATGTGTGTATGCAGGGGCGAGTGCATGCTTGTGGGTTAGCGTGTGTGCTCATTGATATGGAGGCATACAGACAGACAAGCTTTGACTCTCGGGGAGGAGAGGGCCTGTCAGTGAAAGAAGGAGAAGCCTTTAAGTGCTACTGAGGTTAAGGCCTAGTTTCCTTATTCTCTGCAAAAGGTAACCTGGTTCCAGGTGGTCTGGGCAAGGTCAGACGCTTTGATCTAGAATGCTGGGAGGTGGCCTCCAGGGAGTCAGTGCTCCTCCTGCCCTCTCCATGCCAACTGTAGCTGGGAGAGGTACTAAAGTGCACTCCAACGACAGTGGCAGGCTGTCTGCTGAGCCCCTCACATGTGTTGCTTCGTTTCATCCTCACAGCAGCCTGACAGGCATAAATGTGACCCCCGATATACAGACAAGAACACAACTCCAGAGGGGTTAAACGAGGCCCAGAACTAACAGGCTGGGCTCCTGGCATTTTCATCCTGCTCTCTTGGAACTAGAAGCTTGTCACTTCTTTGAGCACATTTCACTGCCTCTGTAGTCACTATCTACTAGAGGAGCACACGAAGGGCTCTCTGGGAAAGTGCTGGAGGAGCACTTGTCCTTCACAGAAAGGTAACAGTAATGGTATTGAAGACAAGGTGGGAGGGCCACAGGCTGCATTTGTAGTCTGTTTTGGGCTCCTGGGGCTCTGCTGACCCTCCCAGAAGATCCAGACTGAAAGTTGAAGCAGCCCAGCTGGCAGAGAGGCCTTGGACAGTGGCCCGGGTTCCGGCGGCTCTGCTGCTCTGATTCAGGAGGGGCCAGGACTGCCTGTCCAGAACAGTCCCATAAGCCAGAGAGGCTCTTGGCCAAAGGGTGGGAAGGAATATAACCTACACTGCCTGTCACCTGGCCCGTGCTCAGCCTGGCAGCTCTGCCCCCTCTTGCCCTACAGTTCTCCACATAGACTGGACCTGATTTTGAAATTCTTCCAGAGCCTGGTTTCTAGAGAATTCCTTTGAGCCACATGTCCTGCCTACATGCTCTGTCCTTGTCCCCAAGGGCTTCCTCCTGGCTTCTGACTGGAGGGTCCTGTGGGGAGCCTTGCCTTCCATGCTGTGAAGACAGTTGACCTTCTGGGCCTACTGGCCCTCATTTGCTGGGGTCCCTATGCTTCTATTGGGTTAAGGTAGGGAGTAAATTTTCAGGCTTTCCTGCTGTGGTCTAAGAAGGCTTGGGAAGGTTCATTTCTTTACCCTGACACCTAGACTCCAAAACTCTTTTTCTCCATGAGCTACCTCCTAGGTCCCACCTTTGGCGTCTCCCAGAGTTCTACTTCCCAATGTCCAGGTACCATCTGGATGCTCTAGTTCCTAACTCCTCATAGGACCCAGTTGTCCTATGGACAGGAGGGGATGGGCAGGGGCCTAGTCTTCTCTGCAGGATAGGATGGGTGACATGGTTCAGGCCTTGCAGACCAATGGTCCATTGGACCCCAGATGGAATCTGTGGGCAACCAGTGTTGTTTTGCTCTGCTGCACCTCCACCTGGTGGTGCTGGAAGGAACTGCTTCCAGGTCCTAATATAAACACTGTACAATTACAGCTGCATCCCTGGGTCAGCCACAGGGCTCACTTTTTTTTTCTTTTTGTAAATTATGTAAACCAGAACATAGAGAGAGCTCCAATCTCAGAAATGGAAGAAAGAAAAGGAATGAAATATTGAAAGTGGATTCAGACCGGAGATGTCCTGGGGAGAATCACCAATGACCCTTTGATTCCTCATTCTCCTTATCATTTATTTTCTGAGCAATCCCCAGCCCACCTCATCCTGTAGCCACACAAATGTCCTCTGGCATCCATGGAGAACACTGCCACGGGTGGTCTTCAAACTCCCCTCCTCCCCGCTCTGGTCCCCAAATCCCAAACCAACATTACTCTGGCCTGAGCAGAAAATAGTTTTTTGAGACGTTTTTCTTTCTCTCAAGCACACCAGCACACACATACTCACACTCACTTCTCAGACTCATCATCAGCCTGACATCCTCAAACAGCCTTCAGAGGCCAGGGAGGGCTCTATAAATGCCTCTTCCCATTTCTGGCCAGGCTATCTGTCACCAGAATGGGTAAAGAGACCTGAACAGGGTCCTGCTGCTGCAGAGAGAATTCAGCATGACCATGCCCAGGCAGTATAGCTGATGGATGCCAGGGGGCAGGGGGTGTATCGTTCTCCTCTGCACAGGCTTCTGGTGAGCACTGAGGAGTGAGAGGAGCACGAGACACCCCCACTTCCCTCCCAGTCATGATAAGCAAGGCCCCATCCCTCCCACAGGGGGAGATTGCCAGTCACCAGGGAAGAGAAGAAATAGAAGAAAGAGACATACTGGAGAAGTTGACCATTGCGAACTGCTGACACCTGTCCCCGGTGTATCCCACAGGACACCTACCAAAAGAAAGAAAACCAGAAAGAGAGAGCCAGGATAGCAAGACACAGGCATTGCAACACCCCGGCACAGGCTCCTGCCAATGCCAGCTGGGTTCCTTGCCACCGTTACCATTTGTACTGGCCTGGCCACTCTGCCCCTTACCTGCAGCCCTGAATTTTAAACCCAAGGATTAGGCCAAAAATGAAAAACAAAGCAAAACAAAACAAAACAAAAGAACTAACAAACCAAAATACAAAAAAGAAAAGAGAAACAAAACAAAACAGCCAAAGATCAAAACAACCAACACCCCTGGCCCTATGCCCTACATTGGGGGGACTGCACCCGGAAGCTTTCTAAGGAGCAGGGACTTGTGTTTGTATCTTCAAACATACTTTGCTTAGGATCTGGCATGTACAATCGCAAAGGCAGTTTCTCCAAACATCTCTGTCCGAAGAATCCGTTTGGACATCTGGAGAAGGAAAAGGGGAAAAATCACAGAACAAACTGGCATCATCCGCGAGGCTAAGGTTAGAAATCAAAGTGCACAGTGATGAATGAGAAAAACCAAGTCAGGCACTTGGGGTCACACTTGTAGCTGAAGGGGCTGGAGTTGGGGCTGGGTGGAGGGCTCTAAAATCTTATAAACCTCTCTAATAGATGTGGCTCCGTGGGTGGTGGGAAGGGGTGGGGCAGGGGGAGGATGATTTAGGGAAGCGGGGAGGGGGAAGAATGGAGGTTATTGTCTAGTTGTACTCCTGGTCCTGAACCTTTCCTTCTTACCTGCCTGGTGCCCCATGAAGCCAGTACTGCAGCCCGTTAGTGCCAGGCAGTCAACCTTAAGGGAGACCAAGTTCTTAGGAGCCACTCCTTTGGGCCCTACTGGAGGATTTTCTCTGGGGCCCTGGGCAGGTTTTCTCATACATGAAACTCCCAGAAAGTTCAAAGCAGAACTCTGGAAGGCTGTACCCAGATTGTGTGTCCATGACAAAACTGACCTAGAAGATGTTTGATCTGTTCTCTCAAAGAAGGTTCTGTGGCCAAATAAGTTTAGGAAATCCATTCGCAGGGCTCCTCATTGCAGCTTACATTAGCATATGAAAGGTTATAAAAATTTTATAGGAGGAAGTAGCTGAACTTTCTAGTATGTCCCAAATTTATTTGACCATGGAAGGCATTTTTTTTAGAGGAACCTTTGTTGAACACAGTTTGGGGAAGGCTACCCTAGAACAATAAACATGGGGAAAGCTTAGTAGGGGAAGGGAAGCTGGAGGGGAGCTGGAATTACCAGCGTCCCAAAGCTGCCTTCCTGAGGCCGAGGGCAGGGGCAGGTTGGAGCAGGCTCACTGGGGGACCTGGAGGCCTGTTGCACATCAGGGGCCTACTGGCAGCCAGCCTGGGCATTCCTGCCCTTTCCCTGTGACCTGCTCTTCCACTGCAGCCTCACTCTGCCCTACATCTTTCTTCCATCTTGCCTTTCCTGCAGCTCCAAGGCACCACCCACTCCCATGTCCCTGACCTTGTCCTCACCCCCAAGGTACACTTCCTTCTGCTCTTTGGCTGCCACCTCTCCCCTCAAGCGAGTCTCAGTCTTGCAGATTTCTGGCAGCCCTCTATTCTTTTCTGAACCCCAGCAAGTCCAGCTAGCTGAGGAGAATCTTACGAACAGGGCTGGACTGACCCCTTCCCCACATGTCCCTACTCAGGGATGGTCCTATGTTGCCTCGGCCTGGTTTTCCTTCGGAAGTTAGGTAATAATCGGCTACTGTTCAACATGAATCAACCTAAACTTCCTCAAGAACTGAAGTGTGCTTTACTCCTTCACCTCCTGGTGTATTCAACCATTCAGGAAGCCCCTGGGGCTTAAGTGGGCAGTGACTGTTGGCTGTGACACATACTCATGAAACCCTGTGGCCTCATATCTAGAGGACTGGGGAATGGGAGTGGTTGGTGGGCAGAGAGCTCGTTGCTCAGGACCCTGATGGCAGCTCTCTGGGGGAGATAAGAGGTCATCGCTGAAGTGGTAGGGGTGTGTGCAGGTACACCTGGCCAGGGTGGGGGTGAGGGGCTGGGAGGGCTCTAGGAGAGTGGTAGGGGTGGGCAACAGGCATGCATGCTGATCCTGTTGAACAGAGGGGTTCAGGTCCCTCATCAATCCAACCTTCTCTGATCCCTGGCCTTTGTCCCAAGAAAGATGGGGATAGTGGCTAAGGATTTCCAACCAACTCCAGCTCTTCTTCCTCAGCACTTGGACACTGGTGTGGGGATGGGGACAAGAGGAGGAAAAGTGATTTTTTTTTCAAATAGAAGTACCTTTGGGGTGGAGGATAAAGACCCAGGAAGTTGCCAAAATGACTCTTGGAATCCACAAAAGAACAGAAAAGAGATAAGTTTAACTGTGTTCCATGTCTGAGATTAGCCTGGCTCTTGGAGTCAGGTAACTCAGTGTATGTCTTTGTGTGTGTGTGTGTGTGTGTGTGTGTTGGTGTAAGAGAGAGAAAGGGGAGTTCAGGGGCAGGAGGGCACAGAGGGGAAATATATTCCCATTGCTAATAAGCAGGGCTGCTGTACCATGACTCTTGGAGACCAATGACAACTAAGTCTATTCCTGTATCCTCGATCCCACATACATCCTGAATTCCCTGACTTCATCCTCATATGTTTCACGGCCACTGAGTCACACAACTCTAGGGGGTACTATTGACACAGTCTATAGCACAAATGTGCACCTTGGAATGGTGCAATATTATAGTGCTAGTCTTCTTGCCTTGAGAGTGTCCCCCCTGTTTGAACAAATAAGGCCTCAAGGAGGGGCAACGTAAGGGGCAGGAAGGCCTGGTAGGCGGTAGTGCTCTCTGGGGCTCTAGCTCCTTCAGGGGGCTCCTGGACACTCCTATCCATCTCCTTTGTCCTGCCTATTGAAATTGGGATTCCCCTAGTACAGACTTTGGGGGTGGGCCAGGCCTCCATCTCTCTAACCTGCCCCCAAGACCAGAGTGCATCCCCTATCAACCAGGCAGGAGTATGAACTCAGTGTGGGTGGGTGGCTGGCTGGTGGCTCGTGGGTGCCACTCAAGCAGGGATGGACCCTCTGAATTTCAGGGGCACGGAGGACAGATCAGAAGGAGCAATGGGTAGCAGCCTTCCCAGCCCTTCCCGCTGAGTCATCAGCTATGATGCTGGGAAGGTCTGTACCCAGGGCTGGAGAAGAGCAGGGGTGAGGGGGGGCAGAGAGGAGAGCCCACGGGCTGCATCTGGGGTGACAGAGGGGTCAGGGACCTCTGCCTTCCCCTTCCCCCACCCCACCTCCCGGGCCTCAGTTTCTCCTTTTGGTAGCCTGGGGATAATGCCATGTGTGCTGCCCTTACCTGGGGAGAGAGGAGGATGAAGGATGAGGGTGTGCCCCAGGCACTGGGGGGGAATAAGGGTCTCGGAGTCCATGAGGGATGGGTGGAGATGTGGTGATGATGAGCAGGCAAATGGGGTGGGATGGGGGAGTCGCCTGATCATGGGTGGGCTGGAGAGAGCAGAACGGATGGGGATGGACCGATGGCAGGGGAGGCATGCCACTGGTATGTGCACAGGGCTGGAAAGAGAGTCTTGTTCTGTCATCATCCCCTGAACCAGTCCCCAAGAGTCACGCACCAACCGTGCTCAACAAACACACGGAGAGAAGAGGAGAAAGCAGCGAGAGGAAGTGTGGGGGCCCCTGTCTGGCCCAGACAGGAGACAGTCACCTTGATTTGGATCCCCATTTTCAAATCCCCTTAAGTTTTCTTTTTTAAAACAAAATTCAGTATCAGTGACACTGTTTCTTTTGGCACTGAGTTCCAGAAAAACAGGAGGGTTACGGAGTGTGCCTGCTTTCCAACACTCCCTGTAGGGCTTGAACCAATACACAACAACAAGTGTAAGAAAACCAGGAAGGAAAACTGATTTTTATAGAAACTGGAATGAAACTGACCAGTGTAGTTTCATTATCCAAGCTAAGCGGAAATGCAAAAAAATCAAAATAAAAGTAAACAAACAGCACAAATGGTAAGACGTGAGTTCCGTTTCCTAAGTTCTTTCCTTTTTATTCCATTCAGGTGTCATCAGGAATCCCGAGAGGCCTGCCCCCCTTCCCTCCCAGCTTGCCCACCCCCAGAATGGCCTCTGGGCTCTGCCCGGCCCCCTCCCCCCTGCCCTTCTCCAGCACAACTCAGAGGACCTCAATCCCGGCCAGGGATGTTCTTCTCCCCTTCGGGCTGACAAAGGGAGCCAAGAAAGTCAAATCCATGAGCCCTGATTGGGGCTGACCAGGGGGGCCAAGATGGGGAGGGGATAGCTCTGGGTGCCAAGTTCAAGTTCTAAGCCGTGAAACCCAGTTGTCCTGGTGGGGAGGGAAATAGGATCAGGCTCCTGCCTTCTACTCCCCTTAGACTTGGCCAGGCAGGACCTGGGCTCCTAGGGGTGCAGCCTTGCTGGCGGGGTCCTCTGGTACCTATGTATCTTATTCCTCCTTTTCCCACAAGAAACTCCAAGACTAGAGCTTGGGCCCCAGAGCTGGCTCTGCTCATCCCTGGTGCCTGTCCTGGGGGCTGAACCTTCCCTATCTGGAGCCAGGGCTGATTTTATCAACAATGCTGGATCCATTTGAGGGTCAAGGGGTCCAAGGGGCTACGGAATAGGAAAGACTTGGCGTATGGGACATGGGAAGGGGGATGCAGGATTGGGCCATCCCTATTAGTTATTCCAAGGCCCTTGTGAGTTTGAAGTAGGTCTAATCCAAAGAGCTCAGAGCATTTTCAAGGCTAGAATGTTTCCCGGGTCTGTAACTAATGTGGCTGCCTCTTAAAGGAAAAAGCAGGGAAGGCTGAGGGCTGAGGCCAAGTTGAGAACTTCCCTGGAGGACCTGCTGTTGCTCTTGGGACTCTTCCCTGAGGTTTGGGATGGGAGGAGGGTGGGAAGGGGATGGTAGCAGGTGAAGGGTGGGACCAGGGAGGAAGCCAGCCAAGGAGGCCAGCAGGGGCTAGAGCCACAGTCCCGCTTGGCAATGGCAGCCCAGCGACCCCACCCTGAGGATGAGTGTGAACAGGTGTGGACCCTTGTGACCACATGGTAGGTGGAGGGGGTCTTTAAAAGTCCTGGTCTTCTTGACAGGCCCATATTCCTAGGAAAGGCTGCAGCTAAGGAGGAGGATGCAGACCCGGCCTGGGAGGGCAGAGACAGGGGAACTAGAAGTGCTGATCTGACCTCGTCTGTAGGAGCTCAGGCCCCTCTCTAAATCTCCGTCAATATTTTAGTGGTCTTTGCCCAGATGCCACAAGAATGGGGCAGTTTTGGCATCTTGCCAGGGCCCTAGACTTGAGATGCTCTGAAAACCCCAAGTTGTTCACTAGGCCCCCTTCCCACTCCTCCCCAAGATCTGGCCACAGCTTGTGCTGCCCTCCCCAAGCTCCCTTCCCCCTCCTCTCAGGCCCACCAGAAATTCTGTCCATGGGCTTTGGGGGGGCCCAGCTGCCCAGAAGACCCTGCTGGGCCTGAACAAGGCCTCCATGACTGCCAAGCTCCCGCCTACCCTGTGTGCTCTGGGGAGTGGGTGGTTCTGAGCTCCTTGGAGTGCTTGCTGGGGCCAACCTGACCTCCTCCACTGGGCAACACCCACAGTCTCTGTTGGTATCCTTTTACTTCATGTAGAGGGGGCCGGGCTAAATGGGCACAGGCAGCACTTGGGCACAATGGTCACTGGGGTGCTGTAGGGCATTGAAAGCAGCCAGATTCAAGGGGTTCTGGGCAGTCCACTCTACTCCCCTCAAGACTGCAGGAGTAGGACCCTCAGGAGCCAAGGGCTTGGGAGCTTGTGGTCTGCCTGACCCTACCAGGTTCCTCATTGCTGGGGAAGATGCAGCTTGGGACAGAACTAGTTTGGAGAGTTGTTGAGAGATGGGGAAGGAGGACAGAGAGAGAAAGAGAGCGAGAGAGAAAGAAAGAAAGCCCAGCGCCTTAGACTGGCATCCCCATCTCCCTAACAGTGTTGGTGAAAGGGTGGACATCAGGAGATGGGGTGGACAGGGGCCTAGCAAACTGGTACAGCAGGAGCCCATGTGTCCTGACATTTCCTCAAGTTCCAGAAGGGGCTAGAGCTTACATTTCCTTATATTCCAGAAAGGTCTAGGAATGGGGCCAACCTTGCTGTCTGTACCCTTTGGGGACCCCTTGCCAGTGACTGGAAGCACACTTTTCCTAGAGCCCTCCACTTCTGCCCCAGCATCTCCTACCCTGCTCTCACCCCATGCTGACTCCACTGGTCACTTACTTGCAGGAAAGCTGGTTGATGCCCTCGATGTAGTAGCAGACGCCTCCATTGACACAATAGGACTTGGCTGTCTCGTTGCACTTCCGGGCATGCCCCGACCAGGATGACAGGGTGGTGCTCACTGGAGGTATGAGAGACACATGCCGGTGACCCACTGAGACACCTCTGGGTCCCAGGAATCACTTTCTTCATGGCTTTTCATGGCTTATCCCCAAACTGGAAGGTCATCAGAGACTGCAGACATGACTGGGCAGGGGAGGTCTAGTGGTCCTTCTGGATTGCCAGTGAGGCAAAGTGGGAGGCCACCACAAGCTCTAGCCATCTGTCTTGTGTGACCCTGCACGCATGCTCCGGGCAAACCTCTAAAATCTTTTCATTTTTTGGAGGGGGTGACAAGGGAGCAGAAACTGCTTCCTCTGCTGGAATCAGGGCCCACCTCCACACCTTCCCTCCTGTCTCCCTGGGGTTTCCACCACAAGTGGATGAGATGCTGACGTCTGGTGTGGGCAATGGTGCCGGGAGGAGACACCTGTACCTGCCTTTATTGTTCAGGTTCTTGTATGTTCAGCAGGTGGCTGGAAGGAGTAGGGACTTGAAAGGAATGGCACCTTTGGGACATTGCTGTTTCCTGAGAGCTGGAGATGTGGGTTAACCCTAGATTCTACACTCTTTCCCCTCTCTGCCAGGGATGGATGGAATGCAACAAAGGCCAGTATGCCCTGTCTCCAGAAGCATCAAGGGTCTCTTCGTATACTCCCACGCCAGGCAGCCCCGCTGCTCTCCCACCTCATCAGCCTTTGCCTCTGGAGGGAGCCTCCAGACCTCTGAAGGCCCAGACTGTAAATCATGGGCTTCAGGTTGTTGGAGAGGAGATGGGGCTGAGGAGGGCCAGGGCAGCTGGGATGTGAAACTGGCTGACAGAAAGACTGGGCTCTGAGGCTATCGACCCAGACTGTAAGTTTGATTTAGCAGACTCATTTGAAAAATCAAAGTTAAGAAAGCTCTTCTCCTCCATCAGAGGAGGGCATACGGAAAGCTGGCTTCAAGTGAGAATTCTTGCATCAAAGTCAGTTTTCATCTGTAAGATACTGTCCTATGCTGTGTGTCTATACTGGGCTGCTAGAAGGGGCTCCTGCTCCCCACTCAGCTCTTGGGGGCTCTGAGGGCCTCTTACTTCCACCCAGCACTAGCCTTGTGACGGAGATGGCCCATCCTGCCTTGTCCAGCCCTATCTCCTCAGGGGTATTGAGTTTCTATGGCTCCTGTCAGTCATGGGGAGGGGCTGAGAAGAGGGGGGCAGGCACTTGGCGCCCTCAGTGTTTAGACATGTAGGGAGACAGATGGAGCGTGGGGGACTGGGAGCGTACACACAGCTCTGCCTCTGTATATGTCTGAGGAGCTCACTGATAAAATCCAGCGGACAGGGCCAGCTCCCACCTTCCCCTCCCCATCATGCCGGCCGCTGAGCTGGCATCCTTGGCCCCATCCTGGCTGAGGTCTCCCCTAAGGCTCAATGGCAAACCCAGCTGGGACCCACATGCTGGCTGGGGAGAAGAGAAAGCTTCACGTTGGTGTCTGTCCCACTTCTGGGTCAGTGAGACCCAAGAAACTAAGAAAGGGCCAGAAAAGAAAAATAACCGAGGTGATCATGCCTGAAGTTATAAAGTCCCATTTCTGGGCAGATCCTGGAGGTTGTCCTGCCCTTTGGTTACACTGTAAAGGAGGAGTGAGGAAAGAGAATGGCAAAGTGCCCACGCAGAGTCACAATGTGTGTTGTGACAAGGCCTTAAGGCTGCTGGCCCCTAGTTGTGCAATCTTGACAGCTACCCAGTCCCCTGCGAAAGAAGACGTCAGCACCAAGTCTTGCCTGGAGCAGATGGATGCAAAAACAATGTGGACCACAGGCCTGGGTCCTCCGGGGGGCCTTGGCTAAGCCAGAGAAATCTCAGCCTGGGCCTGCCAGGCCCAGCATGGGTCCCTCTGCAGCCATGGGTGGCAGAGACTGACAGTTGCTGTGCCCTCATTGTTATTCCTCCCAAGCTGAGGGAGCAGTGGACAGCAGTAAGGTTGCTGGCAGGGAGCGCAGCTGCACATTTGGGCTTGTCACACATACATGCCTGCGCTCATGGAGGCCTTGGAACACAGATGACAACTGAAGAAAAATGGACCCCTGAGCTGTGGTACATGGAGCCCTGGCTGCCAAGACCACATCAGCATGGAGATGAGGCCGAGGACCCAGAAAGGCAAAAAGGGAGGACAAAGTGGAGGGCTGGTCATAGAAAGTGTGGCAGAACAATGACTGCAGGCCTTCCCACCTCAGAAAGGCCACTTTCTAGTGACAGGACCTTCCTGAGTCACAATAGGCCAATTCTTGTTGTGGGTGAAGCCACACTCCAGGGAGATGTGCATGCTGCAGGGGTGCATGCACACCACGGAACCAGCAGGCTGTGCTGGCACACACATGTCTCAAGGCAACAGGTCTAGACTCCCCCGTCAGTGTATCTATATTTCTAACCCAGTCCTCCCTTTGGAGAAGCAAAGGTGACATGGATTCTCAATGGGAAGTTTTAATTACTCCCCCCCATCCCCTTTTTTTCCAGTAGTGGATTTAACCCAAGGATGCTCTACATCCCCAGCCCTTTTAAAAAAATATTTTTGAGACAGGGTCTAAGTTGCTGAGATTGGCCTCAAACTTGAGATCCTCCTGCCTTAGCCTTCCTAGCAACTGGGATTGTAGGCCCATGCACTGCCCCTGGCTCCCTAACTGCTCCCTTGACACTTGCACTTGAATGGCTCACAACCACCTGAAACTCAACATGTCCCAAACTGAGCTCCTAGTCATCTATCCCAACCATCGTCTCTATCTTTCCCTCTGTCAGTAACCAAATGGCACACACCCAAGTCCTAGAGGGCATCTTATATTTCTCTTTTATTCCCCACTACATCTCATCCCCAAGATTCACCATTTCTAACTCCTCAAGAGGCTCCATGCCTGTCTCCCCAATTTCCCTTCTAGTCCAGGCGTGTCTCTTCCTTGGATGACCACATGGTCCCCTCACTGGTCTTCCTACCCTCATCTCCACCTTCCTGCCTTCATCTCTGACTTTTTGCTTGGCAGCTGCCACAGTGGTCTTTAAAAATATGTAAGTTCCATGATGGAAGTTCTCCAATGGCTTCCCTTTGTACTCAGGATAAAGCCCCAACTCCTTCCCAGGTAGAATCTGGGCAAAGATAATAAGCCAGGAGCCCTCCTGCCCAGGACGTTCCCAATATCAGACTCCACTGGCCTCCCTCACCTTCCCCAGTTGTCAAGCTCCTTCCTGATTTTTCCTATTTGCTTCATCTATTTCTGCTTGTAGTACTTATTCTAACCTAATTAAATGATGAGGCATGCCATTATTAGCTCCTTCAATAGAATGTAAGCTCCCTTAGGGCAGAAAGACATCTCTCATGTTTCACTGAACCACAACATCTAGCAGAGTGCTGGGCACATAATAGGTGCTTAACAAATATTTACTGAATCAATGAATGAGCAAATTAATATCTGATTCTTTGGAGAAAAGAGCCTTCTATTGCCAGCCCAGGGACTAGTCTGATATCCTTGGCTGATGATAGCTTTTCTATAGGTTTTAAATGTAAATATTCCTGAGAGGTCATTAGGGAAATGAAATCAAAGCCACAATGAGATGCCACTTCACACCCGCTAGGAAGGCGGGAAAACAGAGGGATAATAACAAGAGGTGGTGAGTTTGTGGAGAAATTGGTAGTTCGTGCATTGCTGGTGGGAATGTAAAACGATGTGGCTGCTTTGAAAAGTAGTCCGGTAGTTCCTAAAAAAAATTAAACAGAATTACCATATGCTCCAGGAGTTCTAAAAACCTATGTGCATACACAAACTTGTTCATGAATGTCCAGAGCAACAATATGCATAATAGCCCAAACATGGAAACAATCCAAGTGACTTACTAATCCAAACTAATGAATGGATAAATAAAATGTGGGACATTCATACAGTGGAACATGATTTAGCCATAAAAAGTAACGAAGTACTAATTCATGCTATAATGTGGCTGGACCTTAAAAAAACATTACATGAACTAGAAGAAGCCAGGCAAAAAGGCCACATATTATATAAATCTATTTGTATAAAATGTGTACAATAAGTAAACCCATGGGGACATAAAGTAGATTAATGGTTGCCAGGGGCCAGAGGGAGGGAGCAATGCTAATAGGTATGGGGTTTCCTTTTGGGGTGATGAAGATATTGTGGAATTTGTGGTGACGGTTTCATAACTTGGTGACTGGGTAAAAACCATCAAATTGTATACTTATTTAAAAGGATGAATTTTATGGAATGTAAATTATGCCTCAAAAATTAATTTTAAAGAATGTCTAGAAGGGACAAACCCTGGAAGTCATTATCAGCCGTTAGTGACTTGGTATGGGTGGGTTCTTCAGGGTCTTCCTTCAGAGACTAAGCAGGAGCAGGGTGGAGAGGCAGCTGGTGCTGGGGAGCCATCTCCGCATTGTCTGTTGCTGCAGCAGCTACTTTTCTCCCTTGTTCATAGAAAAATCTTTGCTTCTCTTTTGAGACCCAGACCTAGCACCTCTTGATATGTCTAGGTTCTCTTCTCACGGTAGCCTGCTGCCCTTTGGTGCGGTGGACTGTCTTCTCCCTGCCCTGTTCTAAAAGGCAGAGGAGCCCCAGTTTTTAGCTTCCTGCCTTGTGAAGGACTTGATTGGGGGCCAAGACTGAACTCCTCAGAGCTCACAGCAGAGCGTGCTGAATGTGCAAGTGAGAGTACACAGCTCGCCTTTTGTCCCCAGCTACAGGACAAGCCTGGGTCTCTGCAGGACTTCCATGGTCCTATAATACCCCACTTCAAACCTCTGGGGCAAAGTCTGATATCCTGGATCTGGAATGGCTACCCTAGGATGTCTCTGAGTTCCCTTTCACCTGGGACATGGACGCTGGTTTCTCAGAAGTGGCTGATTAATTTGTTGAAATTTCCACAAACTTCTGCTAACTCCTCCTTCCTGCCAGCAGCTTGGGAAGGTCGGAAACCTCTTGTGAGCAGGCAGAGTTGTGACGAGGGCCTGCTCTGGTTTGGGGAAAGAGAATTAGGCTCCACCAGAAAGGAGCCGGGAGCCCTCCAAGAGCCAGAGTGATGTCCCTTGCGCAGCCTGCAGCTCCTGATGCCCCGCCCCTATAGCTTTGGCTTCCCTGGGGCCTGGGAGGGCCAAGCCAACCCACCTAGGGATGAGTCAGAGGGGGGCAGGCAGGGCCTGCACCGGATCTCCGCCCCCTCCTCAGGGTGTGGTTGCTGCAGGTCTCCTGGCTTCTGTGGATAAACAAGGAGCCCAGGCATCTCTGCCTGTGAAAATGTCCCTAGTCTTCTGGTCACCTGCAGTGGCCCTGTTCAGCTCCCCACATGAAGAGCAGGCTCTTGCCTGCATGGGCTGCACAGGGCAGCAGAAGAGGTGTGTACTCCGCCTGCATGTGGGTTAGGTGCACAGGACATCAGCCTGAAGATCACCAGGAATCTCATAATTTTAGGGGGAAGAGGCTTATAGATCAGCCTCAGGAGGGGAAAACTGAAGACTAGGGAGGTGGGGCAACATGCTCTGGGTTGAATGACACAGAGCTGGGACTAGATCAAATCTCTCAACTCTCCACTGCCCTGCCCTGCGTCCCTCCCACCAGGCTACAGGCATGAGGCAAGGAACCCTGTGGGCAACTGGATTCCAGATCTGCCCTCCAGCCCCAGCCCAAAGGCTCCACGCTCTGGTTCTGCAAAGGATCAGAGCATGACCCATTGCAGGAAGGAATTGAGAGCCCTCCCAACCCTCCCAACCTCAGGTCTCAAGCCCGCTGTGGCAGAGCAGGCATGGCTGTGACTTTCTGCATGGCAACCCTACCTTCTTTCTCCACGAAGAGCACCCCTTGAGGGAACGCTTCTCCATGTGATATGTCAGGGCCATGGTTCGGGCACTCTGCCTCTCAGTAGCCCCCCTGAATACACAGACAAGCCTGGCAAAGACGGCGCCCTCCAGCCTGAACAAGTGGGCCAGTGGGCACATGACCTAATCAGGGTCAATCAGAGTTCATCCTCGTGATCTATGTGTGGACCAGAGACCGAGGTGGCGGGCTGGGATGAGGTAAGCCTGGAGCTGTCTGTGGCCACGGCCTCCTCTTCCCACTCCATTCCCCCAACGTGGGAGAAGCTATTTCAGAACTGGAAAGAATGAGGCCGACACACAGAGGGAGAGTGTCCTGACCCATCCTCTTTGTTCTTAGACTCTCATTTTTGAGGCCAGTTTGACCTCTTGGACTTCCCAGTTTTACAAGTCAATAAATGAATTCCTTAAGGTAGGTTTAACTTGAATTTGTCTCAGTTTTAACCAAGAAAGTCTTGACTAATAAAACAGGAGACTTCAAGTCCAAGGTGTATCTGTGGATGTCTGCTCACTATGACAGGTGGCAGGTGCTAGACACCCTCTCGCCCCAGGCTAGAGGCTGGTTGAGAAGTGGAGATGCAAATACCTCTACTGCTACCCTGCCTGGCTTGGGACATGGAGAAGGCAGTGAAGGCCTTGCAGCAGGTTGTAAGTTCTTTAATATAACATTTACCGGGTACCTACCAGGAGTCAGGTACTGTGCCAGGCCCCGGGGCCAGAGTGGTAAACAGGCTAGATTCATCCCCCATGGAGCCCCGTGGCTAAGTTTGCCTTGAATTTTACATTGTACAGCTCTATCATTAACTAGCTGTTTGACTTTGGGCAAAATGTTTAGCCTCTCTGAGCTTCTCACAACCTATAAAATACATCCTGGGCCTGAGTCAGGGTTCATGAAATAATGTGGAGTCTGGCTTGGTAAATACTAGCTGTCATCATAACTTCTTTTGTCCTTGTCATCCCCGTCCCTGAGGCTCACCCTCCACTGGAGTGCACACAGAGAAAGTTTAGCAACAGTATGGGACCTGAGGAATGAACTAAGATTGGAATTCAAAAGATACTACTGGACCTCTGTGGCCTGAGCTGGGAGGGACACTACAGTAGGTTGGGGTGGTCTTAGGAGGAAGGCTGCCGGGGAGAGCTGGTGTGGGAGAAGGAATAGGGATGGGATGGCAAGGGGAGAGACTGCAGAGGAAGATCATGGGCCAGATGGGTGAGTCCCTGGCCTGTGGCTCCACAGGCTGGGGACATGGTTGAATGAATGTGTGTTAAAAGGCCACTGTTCTGATACAAGTGAGTAGGGATGAAACTTGTGCCAGGGTTGCCCCTGAGGTGGGCTTAGAGTGGATGGGGTAGTTGTGAGAAATATCCAGACTGGATAGTGGCAAGGAGCCCAAGAGGCTGGGAGAACAGGGCTGTCCCTCACCAGGACAGGGCAGAGAGGGTCTTGGCTAGGTTATCATCTGAGGGCCATGGGCCGGGGAACGTTACAAGTTCTCTTTTAGGTAATGATGGGTTTGGGAGTATTGGAAGTCTGGTGGAAAACAGGCGACAATAAATACAGGATTAGATTCTGTGACGGGCATGACTGAAAGCAAATCCCAATAAATAGGTGTCTGAATGGCATGCTCCGTCTGGGGGTGCTGGGAGCAAGAAGGCTCTTTGTGGGATTTGGTGCACTGGGGTTAGAGTGGAGGGTACTGCATGAGGACAGGGAGCATTGGTAGAGAAGAAAGGTGCCTTTCCAGTCAAGGGAAAGGACAGCCCAGCAGGAAGGCACCCTCTGCTCCGCAGCTGGATCTGCCACTGCAGAGAGAAGCTCAGGAGCACTATGAGGTCCTGACCGTATAGTCTTGGAGGAGAGAGGATGTCTGGTGGGAGAGTCTGCCATCTCCAAAGAGGCTATCCCAGGGGATCCAAGCCCCCAGTCCTCCCGCCCTGGCCCCGTGGAGATGACCTCCTGCACTCAGGTGCCCTCAAAGCAGCATCCACAGGCAAGCAGCTGGCAGCGCTGGGGCCTGCTCTCCCCCAGCCCCGCTCCGGGCAACCCAGCCTCCCATAATTGCCTTCTAAAAATATTCTTCCCTCCACCCCCACCTCTTGATTTCAAAATATTTAGTTTTCAGGGTATTTAAAATGAGAGTTGGCGGCTCTTCCAGCCCCAGATAACAAAGCTAAACATTTATGCTTCGACTGCATTTCTCTGAATCGGCTGAGATCTGGGGTTTGATATGGCCGCGGCAGAAGGGAGGGGAATCGAGTGCAGGATGGAGCATGTGTGGGCCTCCTGAAGGCTGGGGGGCAACTGATCCACCCTGCCAGAGCCCTCAGGGACCCTGCCCTTCCTCAAGGGGCCACCTACCGCTGTTGACGTAGAGCCGGCCCCGGACGGTGTCCTTCCCCAGGATGTTCTCAGCCTCGCAAACATACTCCCCAGCGTCCTCAACCTTCACCTTGTTGAACTGTAGTCGTGAGTTCTTTCTGGTTAGGGAGGGGGAAAAGAGGGGGAGAGGCGTGAGCTGGGGGGAGGCGGCGACGATGCTCCCCAGCAGTCGCCCCGACTGTCACCTCTCCCCACAGACCCACAGTGGCCTTGCAGGTTGGCTGGAAAGTAGATACCCTCAGGCTGGCTGTTCCTGGGGTCCAGAAGGAATGCTGAAGCCCTGGAACTGGAGGCAGACTGGGGCCCTCAGGACAAACCAGGCTGGGGCTAATGGCTACACACATGTTCTAAATCTATGAATTCTCACGTCTATTTTCCCAAGGCTGGGCCTTTTTTTGTAACATTTTTTCTGGGGGCAGAGAGCCAGGCCCCTTAGGAAGTCACATGGCTACATCTTCATTCTCAGCAGCTTTAACCTTCCTTAGAAATGGCTGCTTGTCACGCTGGATACGTAGGACCCATTCCCAGAGCAATGGTTTAAATGTGTTCCCAAAGCTCATTAATCCCCAAAGTGATGGTGTGGGGAGGTGGGCCTAATGAGGGGTTAATGTCACAAGTGCTCCATCATGAGTGGCTTAAAGTTGATTTCGTGGGAATGGGTTTGTTATAAAAGCAAGTTCAGTCCCCTCATCCTCTCTCACCATGTGACGCCTTCTGTGGTGTTATGGTGAAGCATGAAGGCCATTACCAGATGTAACTTCTGAATCTTTGACTCCTCTAGAACTGTGAGCAAATAACACTTCTATTGCTCATAAATTACCCAGTCTGTGGCCCTCCGTTATAGCAGTGGAAAGTGGATTCAAGACACCCAGGTATCTGGGAGAGCCACAATTCTGAGAGGATCAGTTGACAACTGTGCCCAGATCCCAGTGGTTTTCTCCTGCCTTCCAATCAGCCCTGCCACTAAGAGGCACTCTGTGACCTCTCCAAGGAGCATTTGTTTCATTTATTAATTCATTTGACAAATGCTTACTGAGTGCCTTTGTGTGCCAGGAACTTGTACTTCAAGCAACAAAAAGATCTTGGACTTGATCCCAGGGCTGAACTGGGTGTCTCTTCCTATAGATGGGAAAGCTAAATCCTAGAGGGCTTCCTGACTTGCCCAAGGTCATCCAGCAAGGTAAAGGCAGAGGTGCTGTAGCTAGTGGAGACATGCGGTATCTTGGGCATCTGAAGCTGGGGCAAGGCCCCTTCTTCATCCAGTCCCTGCATGCCCCGCCCCTGGTGCTGTGACTGCAGTGTACCTAGCCCTGGGTCCCCTCTTTCTGGAGTTCTGGTCAAACCTCTCCTTCCTTCTCAGAGCTTCCCTGCACCTATCCCAGCATGCCTAGGCTCTGCAAGTGTCTGTTCCCAGTTCCCCTCCTTCCCTCTGCCCCAGTATTCTCAGGGGCCAGTGAGAGCTCTGAAAAAAGAACAGGACCCCAACCTGGACCCCAGGGGGAAGCGAGAAATAGCATGGAAATGTCTTTACATGATGTTGTCTCCTCTTCTTTTTAGTGATTAGTTAAAAAACAAAGCAAAACAAACGAATAAACAAAAAACACAGATTCCCAGAATATTTGTAGTGGGTTGGAGGGGAAGTGGCTCATGGGACAGGGTGTAGTAGAGCTGTCACTGCCCTGAACCCCAGGGACCAAAACAGAGCCAGGACACTGTTGGGGTAAGGAGGGCAAGGGCAGGTGAACAGAGAGGCTTGCCCATAGAGATGCAAACTGGCCCACAGTCCCTACCTAGGCCTATGCTTTTAGGGACCTCTTTCCTGGACTTGCTTTTCTTCTGAAGGTAGACCTCTTCCCAGATGTCCTCACCCCAAGACTCCCAAACGAAGGTGCTGCAAAGCTGTTTTGTCAACAGAGCCTATTGCTGTGATGATGTCCTCACTAGTGTGGTGACAGCTGCTGGACTATACCCTACCCTTCCTGGCTCGAGCAGGTCTCTGTCTCCTTGGCCTGGTGCCTGCCCACAACCCTCTTCTGTCAATTAAAGTTTGTTCCCTTCATTAAGTAGAGCCCTGGAGGCCCCTCTGACTGAGAAGGCTTCTCCTTCCCTGCTCTAGCCTAATTAGACACCACAGAGCCCAGCTTCCCTGGGACGAGGCTGCTCTCACTTCGAGGCACTGGACAAGGAGGGCAGGGATCACCTGAGGGGACTAAGAGCCAGACCCTCTTTGTCACTCACAGTCACATTCAAGGGAGTTTCCCTTGCATGACATCATACGTAGCAGGACAAGACCGAGTGAAGCTCAGGGCTTTGAGGGGAGAAAGCTGGAACTTGAAGGAAGGGTTCCGGGAGAGCCCTGCCCCTTAGAGGAATGAAAAAGCGGTGACAACTCTCCAGGTTTGCCAGCTGCAGGCATCTTGGTTTACTGGGGTCATATGGCTCTCAGGGAGGTGGGCTCCAGAGACACAGAGACTCTGGGTGGGGTGAGAAGGAGGGCTCAGTGGGTCTCCCAGGCCTGGCAGTTGCTGGGACCACTATACTCTGTCCTCGCTGCGAGCTCCAGCTGCCGTCGTCCCTAAGGACTCACAGCTCTTCTGGCTTTCCGGGCAGCAGGATGCTATCTGTTCCTGGTGCCCCATCACCGTGCTGACCCAGGTCTGCCCCGAGAAGGGTGCCCATCCCCACCCTCCCCAGCTGGTTCTCTGCTGGCAGGAATGGGATCTGGGCGGCTGCACATTTTCCTCAGCGCCTCCCCCTGCCAGCCCGAGGGGCCTGTTCTAGCCTGCCCCTCATAAATAAGGGAACACGCGGTTCTCCAGGGGAGGGCCCTGCGCCCAGGGCTTGAGGGGGCAGTTTTTTCCTGGCACAGGAAGGCTGGGTCAGATACTGCAGCGTGGTGGCACAGAGACAGACAGTACCAATGGGGAGGAGGTCTCTGCAGGCCAACAGAGACACCAAGACAGAGCACAGCCTGGGCAGGTGGAGCGTATGCGAGGAAGGCTGTGGAGGCTGCTGCAGGGCAGGCAGGGAGGACAGAGAAGGGCTTTCCAGAAAGAAGCCTCCTGTCCCTGGCCCCTATGCTAGGTAAGATGTGTATAGTAGGGGGGTGGGTAGCGTGCAGAGGTGGCAGCAGCAATATCAGAATCCTCCTGAGGAGCCCTTGGTAACAGGAAATCAGAAGTTCCCAATTAAAGTGCACTTTTTCACCACTTGCGACTCACTTCTGGGATCCTAGAGGCAGGGCAGGTGACTCAAGGATGGTTCAGAATAGCACAAAGGATAAGGCTCTGACAGGTAGGGGCTCGGGGCACACTTCAGACTCTGGGGCCTACTATACGCAGGGGAAGACCTCACCAGGCTGGACTGGGTCACCCATTTGTCAGATGAAACTGAGGCTTACCCAGGAAGCATCAGGTTCAGAGGATGAGCAACCCAAAGTCCTCCTGCCCAACACAGTGGGTCCCCCACCCAGGAGGTGAGGCCCAACAGGATTTTCATCAATTCAACACTGAAGTTAGATCTGCCCAGGTCCACAGGGGAGAATGGGTGAAAGGGGGCTAGTCTTTGAGTGTCTCTCACGTTAGCAGTGACAGATCCCTCCACAATGCAATGAAGCCATATCTAAGGCACTGTTGGAAGAGACAAGAGTTGGAGGGCATGGGCACATGTCCCTGAGACATGACATTTAAACTGGACCTTGGAGAACTTTGCCAGGGACAGAAGGGACAAGCATAGGGAACAGACCAGTGTCATGAAAGTAAAGACCAGGGGTCAGGAGAGCAGTGGGTCAGGAAACAGGGGAATAGTGATGTGCAGACAGAAAGCTCTGAAGAGCCTTAAGGCTGTACCCAGCATGTTGCAGGTTCTCCTGATCCGGGAAGTAACAAATGAGCAATCACAGGTGTCCCTGTTAAAGATCATCCTCTGTAGGCACTCACGGGGGTCTGTGGACCTCCAAAACTGGGTGTTTAAGGCCCATTTTTTTTCATGAAGAAAGGAAGGAGATTTTACCCAGGTCTACACTGGAAGCTGGACTAGAGACACCTGTAGGCAGGGGCCACGGTTGTTTCATTCACCAGTGTATCCCGAGCCTCTAGCAGGATGCCTGGCACATAGCGGATAAGATGTGCACATGGCACACAGCAGTGATTTCACAGCAGGCCTGCAGCCCGGAGGGTGGAGAGTGGCCGAAAAGCAGCTGGAGGCAGAGAAGCCAGGAAAGAAATGCACAGGCAGGGAAGAGGGCGCCCCCGCCCCCCCCCCCCCCATATCTGGACTTCCTGCAGGGATGGCAAAGGGGGCAGCTGATGGGCAGCAGGCAGACTGGGTGCGCACAGCTGAGAGGGAGCACAGGAAGCAGAGGCTGGGCTGGAGAGGCCAGGGTAGCGAGGCTGGCTTGGGGTATTTGGAATTGAAACACCTGCAGGTGACTGGGGGGGGGGGTGTCTAATGCTGAGCTGGTGGCCTGGGTCTGGAACTCTTGAGGAAAAAGCCATCAAGCCTGGAGATGGAGGCTTGGGGCCTCTCTCTCCAGAGGGAGAGCGGGAGGAGTGAAGCCCAACATACAGGAAAGCCAGCATCATGGCATCTCAGTGGTCAGACTCCCAGGAGGAACAGAGGGAGCCCACAGGGTGAAGGGAGCAGATGGCTCGCGTCAGGGCTGCCGGGAGGCCTGGAGGCCTGGGGTTAGGCAGCCCAGAGGTCAGTGGGGTCTCTCAAGGGCCTCAGCCATGGAGAGGCTGGGGACAGAAGTCAGACTCCAGCAGGGTGGCGACTGCACTTGGTGGTGGAGGGAAGAAGAGAGATGGGGAAACAGCTGAAGGAGGATGAGGAGACAGCACCCCAGCAGGAAAGCCTTCAGAAGAGAAGTGACAGTAATGAGTTTGCAGGGAGGGACAGAAAGGCTGAAGTTACCAGAGAGAGGAGGCAGCTGGCGGGGCCAAAGCGAGTGTGCAAGGGAGCCTGGGGCCAGCATGGGGTGAGGGGCTGGGGATGGGCAGTGGGGGGTGAGCTTGGGAGTAATGTGGAAGGTGAGGATGAGCACTCTCTTGACTTCTGCTCTCAGTGAAGTAGGGGAGAGGCCATTTTCTAGACAGAGAGGATGGGAGGGAGACAGGGTCCTACCAGCCCCAGCTTCAAGAAGTCTGTTCATTCTCCTCTCTAGCTTGGAGTCATTCTTGGCAGTGGGAAGAGGGTGGGGTGACCTCAGGTGAGCTAGTGGGCGGCCTGAATTTCTTGACAACACTGTAGACAGGGGACACACGGGAACACCCTCCACCCCTCCCCTAGCCACCACAGTTTTCTTAGGAAGTGACATTCTGTCAGACAGAAACCTTTGATCTAAACCAAACCTCTCTTAAATTACATCAGGTGTGGCCTGAGCCCGGGCTTTCTTTCCATCACTTTCTATTGTGGGCCAGATTGGACATTCTGTAAAATGCTTTTCTGCCTGGGCCACTTTCTGAGGTGACCAGTTCTATCTTTGCCTCTATTCTTGGAAGGAGAGTCAGAGAATGGGACAATCAGAGACTATCTGGTGGTCCCCTTCCCACCTCTTGCACAGGTTCCCAACACTGAGGCCCAGAGGAGGCAAGCATACCGGGCCACACAGCAAACCAGGTGTGGCCTGAGCCTGGGCTTTCCTTCCATAACTTTCTGTTGTGGGTGAAGCTGGACATTCTCTAAAATCCTTTTCATTTGCATGTGGTGGGGGTTGAGGAGAAAAATGACAGCCAGGAAGGGAGGAGTTATAAGCTCCTCTGCAGGTGGGGGCAGAGAATGCTGGGGTGCTCCTTAGCTAAGAGGGTTGACAGAGCAAGGTCAGGCGGAAAATCCGTTTAGCCTGCAGAAAGACGAGGGGGCTGCTCATTGGAATCCTGGCTCCTTTGGTGCTGAAGTCCCCTGCCTGATCAACCCAAGAAGGATGAGAAACTAAATCCCAGCCCGATACTTGGGGAGCTCCTGAGTCCATCCCCTGGAGCGCTGATTGAAGATTAAAGAAAATTCTCATACCCTAGGAGGCTCAGACTCCCCTCACACCAACCAAACCCTTTCTCCTTACCAAGCTCTCTGACAAGGGATAGCTAGCTGAGCTTAGAGACCAGCCACTCATCTTGTGTGATCTCCCACAGGCTTTCTGGAAGCAGGGCCTTTCACCCCAAATTACCAGATTTGGGGGCTTTTGGACACTGTGCTGTGTTTTTTGAGAAATTTTTGGGATAAGCAAGGACTTCTACATTCTACATTTAAAGCTGACCTCGACAATCAAATTGCCTGCAACCATCCAGAGACATTGGTTGCTTAATTCTTGTCTGTGGTGTGCAATTCACCCACTCAGCATCACCAGAAGGGCCCACCCAGACTGCAAGGAGAGGGGCTGGGGGTGGCAAGGAAGGGGAACATAGAGAGGGGCTGGGACTGGCTCCATGCTGGGCCTGGGGCATCCCTGAGCTCCGCCAGCTCAGCCCCTCCTTCTTAGAAGGAGGGGACAGAGGGTGGGGCTGATGTTGCTCACCTGCCATTGCCATATTTGATGCGGATGTCTCGGCTGCGGTTGAGCTCCTTGCCGTCCTTGAACCAGCGGTAGGAGGGCTGGGGGTTCCCGGCTGCTGCCTCACACTTCAGTGACTGCTTCTCGCCCACCTGTCCTGTTTGGCTCTTCATCTTCTTCAGCTTGGGCCGGGTGGCTGTGGGGTACAAGGCAAGCACGTGAGTGTGGTGGCGGTGGAGGCAGCACCGAGCATAAGCAGTTAAGGGCCTCGGGCTGGGGAGGGGAGGGTAAGCCTGGAAGTCACCCCTCCTGCTGTCATTGCTTAGCTCAATTTGCCTGCATTTAGAGACTGCAGTGAGATCCGCTCCCTTCATACTTGGGATGGTACTAGGAGCTTTATATGAGCTTATAAAATCTTCACAATAACCCCATGAGCTTACTGAAGTGTTTAAACCCATTTGTACATGGGAAAACTGAGGTTCAGAAGGGTAAAGTCACTTCCCTAAGGACTGGGGTTCAACCCAGATCATGGCCCCAGGGCTCATGATCTCTACTGTCCCTAAGCCCTAGGTCTGTCCCAGAGGACACAGACAGGCCAAGATGACAGACTTGGCTAGCACTCCCAGGAAGTCCAGCCTAGCCGAGGAACCTGGTTTTGCTATCACAGCATGGGTCTTGGTAATCTGGTAACAATGGAGCCCAGAGGAGTCATCCTTGTCCTGGGAATGGGGTTCGCTAAGCTAAGAGCGAAAGATGAGGTTGGAAGATGCGGAGAGGGAAGTCTGGCCGAGGTAGCACTGTGGGACATCTTGTGTGGTCCACTGGGATGGGCTGGCAAATGGGTAAGGAGGAGTGGGGTGACTAGGCATGGACTGTGCTGGTGGGCACAGGTCGACCGAGGATGCAAAGCCGTGAGCGCCAAGCTGAGAGGCTTTTCCCATTATCCTTTTTTTCCTTTAAATATATATTTTAGTTGTAGTTGGACATACTATCTTTATTTTATTTTTTTATGTGGTGCTGAGAATCGAACCCAGTGCCTCACACGTGCTAGGCAAGTGCTCTACCACAGAGCCACCAATCCCCATTATTCTTAAACACATTCTGTTTCCACATGCCCAATGCTTTGCCTCCTTGCTCCTCTCCCTACTGCCTTAAAAATAAAACTGGGAAAAAAGGTGCCCTGCTCTGAGGTAGGTGAGGGCAAGCCAGCCAGCACTCCCTGCGGAGATACATAACAAATTCTATCAGTGTCGCCCTTTATAGGACACGCAGCACTTCCGTGCATACTCTTATTTGGTCCCTGAGCTCTGTGAGACAAGTGTCATACTGACATTGATGGTAAAGAGGAGACTCAGAGGTTCAGAAACTTGACCCAAAGCCACATAGCTAGGAAGTCACAGAGTTGGGACCAAAGCCTCGGTGTCTGAATCTGTGATGTGCCGGGCTGGGAGCAGGCTAGTGTCGACTTTTGTAGCCTCATCTCTCTTTGAGGATTGGAGACCCTGGTTCAAATTTTTTCAATAGCAGAAGGGAGGGACTTCGAGGGCCAGGAAGTGTCTGGTGACTGACTGGCCCTGTCTAGGTCATTGGTCCTTTTCTTGGTAGCTCAGAGCTCTGACAATGGGCCAGTGTTGGCTCTGGAGAAAGGCAGGCAGAGAGGGCTGGTGAGAGGTAGGAGGCACCTCCTTGAACTTAACCCTGAGCTGTTGCTTGTCAGTAAGAAGTCAATGGGCATGAGGTGCCAGGGACAGAGGGAACTTCAAAAGAAAACATTTAAAAATATGTTCCTTAGGGCTGGGGACATAGTTCAGTGGTACAGCCTAGAGCGCTTGCCTAGGATGTGTGAGGACCTGGGTTCAACACCCAGTACCACAAAAAAGAATGGCTTAAGCAATGATTCTTGTGAAATAATTTTGTTCATTTTAGAAAATTAAAAAATAGTCGGGTAAAAAGAAGTAAACAAAATCATCCATTATCCCAGTACTCAGAATGAAAACACACACACACACACACACAAAATTTTAAACAAAATGGAATCAGGGCCAATAACACGTTTCTCTCATTTAAGAAAACAATGTAATCCTTTCATCTTGCTGTTAAATACTAATAATAACATTTACCAAACTGAATTCTATGAGACATAAGTATCTGAAGAGTTGAAAATAGACATTACTTGAGAAAAAATGTTCTGTGAGGAACATGGGATGAACTTGGCTAATGAAGTGTCTTTATTGACTTCAGTGAGATTATCTAAGTAAGGAACTTGAAACTTTTTTCTTGGATCCCTTAACAGCATTTCAAGGAAATAAAATTATGTGGAACAAGTTCTGTAACATAACTTCTATGTGCATATATTTATAGATATAATATATATTTTAATAGATAATATATTCACAATTCAAAATTTAAGAACTGTAAAAGAGTATCTAAAACTGAGTCATACCCCACCCCTCTAGGTTCAGAGCATTCAGTTGCCCTTCCAGGAGGCAACTAATTTTACCAGTTCCTTTGATATCCTTTCAGAGATCTCCTAAGCATATATGAAAAAAATAAAACCCTGGAACTCACACACATATTTCTACCAAATCATTTTTCATCCTTGCTTAATATTCCTGTGTGGATGTATCAAAATTTATGCAACTAAATCCTGTTGTGAGGCAGTCAACATGTCCCCACCTCCCATCACCAATATCCCCAGAGGAACATCCTTGTGGTTTCATCTCCTTGCTCGACCAACGGACACAGCTGTAAGAGTGGACCCACACTGCCTGTGTTCCAATCCAGGTGTTGCTACTCATTAGTTTTGTGTCCTTAGGTCATTGACTTAATACTTCTACACCTCAGTTTCCTCATCTATAAAATACAGGTAATAAATAATAGCTCCTACCTCATGGGATGATGGCTGTGAGGAGTAGAAGACAATGCACACACAGCCTGGCATGCCCAGAGCATTCAGTAAAGGTCAGCTGTTGTTATTATTATTATCCACAATTCTTTCCTAAGGCCATCTTCCTAAAAGTGGCTGCATCTAAGGGTATATAGTCTTTTCAGCTTCATGAACTGCCAAATTGCCCTCTGGAAATGCTGCTCCACTCTGCACTCCCCCAATGAATGACGGGGCCTGTTTTTCCACAGCCTCACCACCAGGAGGTATTATCATATCTTTCATCTCTGCCAATTAGCTAAGCAAAAGATAACGTCTCTTTGTTGTTGTAATTTGCATTTATTTGATTACTGATGAGGCTGAACATTTTTCATAAGTGTATTGGTCCATTGTATTGCTTCTTCTGGAATTGCCTGTTCATGTCTGCAGTCTGTTTTTCTATTGAGTGCTCATCTTTTTATTGATTTCTAAGAGCTCTTTAGAAATATTAAGGCTATTAACCTTTTGGCTACAATATTCCAACTCCCCCCTCAGTCACCTGCTTCTCATATTTTAAAATGCTAGCTTTTGTTTTGTTTGTTTTTTATCTTTCTTTTATTTTTTTCATCCAGACATTTTATGAGCGATGAATCTACCAATCTGTTGGATTTTCAGACACTTCATTTTTCTAGGTGAGATTGGAGTCCTGCCTCAGCACCCTTCCCTTCCCTGCACCCTGCCCTCTTGCATCTACTACAGAGTTCCCAGACACGCCTTATCTCAGTGCTTAAACCCAGATGCTGATGTGAATCACATGGGAGCTTCAAAACTTCAGTGGATGCCCGGGGCATATCCAGAGCATTCTGAAGCAGAACCCGTGAGGATAGTCAGGCGGGTGATTTTAACAGGCTCCCGGGTATCTTTCTCATAGAAAAGTGCACATGTTGTAAGCGTACAGCTCAACAACTGGTGACAGACAACACATCTGGGCAGCTGGCTTTGCTCCAAATTCTGGTTTTTACCTGGTAATCTAAATTCGTGGTCTAGGATGACCTCTAGCTAACCCCCTGCTCCTTTTTGTGAACTGGGGCACAGAGAGCTCTTCACAGGTTCGAAAGTGTGTTGACCTTTCTTGCAATTCTGACAGCAGGGAATCCCCTGTCCCAACCACCATGGGCCACCTCACTTCCAGCCAGATAGGGGAGGGGGAGGGTGACACCTGGTGGGAGAAGCAGTGCTCACTCTGCCACCTCATTTCCTGACTGAGTTCTGGTGCAAGACTGTGCACTGAGCCAGTGGCCACTGCTTAGTGGTTGTGGTGATGAGCTGGGGGTGTATCACACAGAGATGAGCAGCGGCATGATCCTCATGCAGAGGGCTGGAGGAATTGGGGGCTCCAAAGTCATTCTCTGACCCCATGGAAAACACAGGATTACATTTCAGATTATAAGGAGCCCACCCGACCTAGTGAGGACACTGTGTGACTCAACAGTGACTTCTTGATAGTTCACTCGCTTCTATCTGGGTGTTCCTGGAGGGTTGGGGATGATTACTCCATATATATCTAGATCATTTCTGCCTGGAACAAAGCACAGGACCTAGCACACAGTAGGCACTCAGTAAGTACATATGGTATATTTACTCAAGAGTGTAAGTGCCTGCCCACTAGGGGCACCTGATTTGGCTCCATTCATTCATTTAATACTTTTTAATCAACCGACCCCATGCCAGGCACTCTTCTGGTGCTGGGTATATAGTACTGAACAAGACAGGTATGTGTCCTGCTCCTGGGGAGCCTGACTTTGCATGAGGGCCATAGACACTCAGCAAGTCACCAACAGCAAGCGAGAAGCCATAATCAGCTGGATAAAGGCTCCAAGGTAGGAATGAGCTTGGTGAGTTCAGGGGTCTAACAGAGGCCTATGTGACTGGAGGAAGGTGAAAGGTGAGGGTGGAATGAGGGGAGTGTGGAGAGGTACACGGGACCCAAGTTCCATGGGATTGTGAAAGGCAGGATGAGAAGTCTGGATTTGCTTTTTTTAAAAAAAAACTTTTTACATGCTTACCAGAAAATTTTTAAATTACACATGCAGATTACATTTTATTTCTATTGGACAGCACTGATCAAAGGATGACAAAAATAATCATACATTTAAATCATGCCATATTCTTTTGTTTATTTTTTTTTTCTTTGAATCATGCCATGTTCTTTGCAAAAAGTTTTCTTTTATAGCTCTTAAAGGTTCCTCAGAAGAACCACCTGAAAGCTAAGGCAGGTAAACCTTGTAGATTTTTTTTTCAGCCAATTTCCTTGGGGAGGCAATGACAGTGGC